CGAGACAAATGAGAAAAATATAGCATAACACACAGACAAAGATAGTAATGTCTGTGGCATAACAGAAGTTTCACAGAAAAAGAAAATGTTTCACAACAAGCCTCTTTATTATTTACACGTTAAAAACAACGTTATCTTATTAGCAAAATAAAACTAATTAATTAACTACTTATTATTTTTCTTCTGGTTTTGTCACCTGAATATCTATTAATTTTATTAATTTAGTTTTCCAAAATTTAAATTGTGTAGTTGCGTACGGATAACGCGGCTACGTGTTCCCTAAAACGCCATTTAAATAGATACTACCTTCTTGTAGCTACGCGCAGTATTAGGAATTACAATAAAAAAAATAGCAGTTTCGGTTTAGGGTATCCTAAAACCCCATAAATCAACACTATTTTTGATGATTATAACATCTTTCCTCTCGCTTTCCTGCAATTTATGGGAATTCGTGAAATGGGATGGAAGTGTGTAACAGGAAGTCGCGAGCGCGCTATAATATGATTTGATTTTAGAACATAATGTTCAAATGGCTTATTCTTTTTGTAGGTTTTATTTCTTTTTTACTAATATAAGGTGAGGTTTCAAATGTTACACATCATAGGGACGCGACTACTGTACGGCTCGCCCGTTCTTTTATATTAAGGTAGGCAAATGACTCTAACCCACCTGATGTTAAGTGGTGCAAAAGTTCAAACGTGTAGTCAAACACGGAAAAAATGTAAGCCTGTGTAGTCTATCGAGTAATCCATTATTGAAAGTGTCTATAATTTCGTTAGAACAAGTCATTGTTATAGCGACATACATGACCCGCGGTGGCTCCCAATCTGGGGATCCGTAGTCATATCATGTCCGATTAGTGCAGGGTAGAGCGAAGAGTTGGTTTTATTAGTTTATTTTATTTATTTCTTTATTTAATCTTTATTGCCTTTACAATGTAAACGGCGGACTTAATGCCAGTATGGCATTCTCTACCAGTCAACCGTAAAAAAAGATGCAGAGAAAATGAAAGGGCAGACAACGAACAGAGAAAACATTAAAAAGCATTAATTACTTATACCTACACATACATACATATATGTTGCGGAACAGGTGGCTTACCGTCAAGGGCGGATCCAGGGGGGGGGGGGTGTCATGGGGGTCATGCCCCCCCCCCCCCCCCCCCCCCCTGGGCTGGGTACAGATGGACCAAACCCAGGGGATTATTATATGTACTTTCAATATTTAATATACCACGACTATATGACCCCCCCCCCCCCTAGCGCCAAAGCTGGCTATATGACCCCCCCCTGGCGCCAAAGCTGGATCCGCCCTTGCTTACCGTTCTGCTCGTTGACCAGAGACGCTCAGAATAGTGTTGGAGGGCGTGGAGTTGGTTGCTGGACGGTCGCAGGAGCGGGGGGTGTGACTACCCCCCTACACACGTGCTTGTACAAATGAATGCCCTTTTACAACTGCGAACATTCATAGCAGTCAGCACACTGCTTTCCACTAACCGAATGCAGCATGTTGGATCATGTACCTATACTGGAACTAAGTTTTATTTAATGAGTGATGTGCGTGAAAACCTAAGAAACAAATAAGTTTTATATATCTAAAGGGTGCATGATGTGGCATGCACAATGAATTTTGTCTCCCCATTTTCGAAAAAAGGGACTTTATCTGCTACCCACCTCAAAGCGACACATGACAAAGAAAATCCATGATGTCTAGTTTACAAAATAAATAGAATACAGAGTATGCATGTGTGATGTGAGTACTCTTTCCCAACAAACATAAACAAGGAATAAGCTTAGAATAGTTACGCCATGCAATTTGTCATTCAATGAACAGAGACCAAACATGGAAGAACTAATCCAAGCTTATTTTTGTGTTTACCATGGGTGTACTAGTTCATGCACCATTCTCCACAAATTACAACTTTTCTAAAGAGATTGTAGTACCTAATTATAAATTAATGTTTTTCCTTGCATTTTTCAATGTATGCTTGACTCTTATTAATACTGTTAAGGAGTAAGAAAATAATAACTTTTGCATAATACATTATAGTATATAGGTATAAGGAGGGCACTTACCAGTATTTGAGTGACATCTAGCGATCACTCATAAAAGCAATTTTCAAAAGCAAGATTTTAGTTCGCCTACTCGCTCCTAGATGGCAGTGACTAATGATTACACCGATAGACACAGTCGATAAAGTGTGTATTACTTACCTAACTAAAATGAAAAGATCGATAACTTTTTTCATCCCTGGCCTACGTTCCAAACCCCCGCTCTGAGAGCAACTTTTTACCCCGTGACGTTAAATTTTGTACATAAAATGTATGAAGCAAATGACCATTTTGGCAGTTCTGTTGTTGCGCATAAAGCATAGCTTTTGAACGCAGCGTCGCAGCCCTATTATAGTCAGTGTGACCATTTACGGTAGATTTTCTACTACAGCAGAAGATTTTCAATGAAAATTTGTCCATGCGGTAGATATGCCTACTGCATACTATTTATTTTCAAACAACTAGTAGTCTTAGTAGATTCGAAGCGATAATCGTCACGGCTAAAAGGACTTGTGTTCAAGCCTTTATATGAGTCGTATAGTATCAAAGGCGGCAAAGTAGGGCGAACCAAATATTTGGCAAATCAAAAAAAACTGTTTAGTCTCGTCTTTAAGGGAGGATTTTTATAATTAACATTTCACTACGATTTGTAGTTATGATGAATGTCAATGAATGTAAAATCATTGCTCAAAGTGAACCACAGGCACCATTATAATAAAATAAAATTACTATTTTGCCGCCTTTGATAGTAAATTATTAGAATGGCCGATTTTGAACCGAAGCTTGGTAAATATGGCCGCCTTTGACGCGAATTATATGTTATGATAGCCGAGTATGAACAGGGTTGTCAAAATTAAATTTTGTTATATTTAATTAATATTTTTAATAAAAATTAACAGAAATTAAAAACAAATAATAGACTGAAACAAAAATCAAATAATTTAAAATTAAAAAAAATCTAGCTGACATTGTTTCGTAGTAAAAAACAAAAAATTTGTTTACGCAATCACACAATGTTTGAATAAAATTTCCTTTTATAAAACATAAACATAAAAAATCAATTAATAATAAGAAAATAAAGACGAGGTTTTATTTAGCCGGAGTCTTGCGTTGTATTTGGAAGATCACTTGCAATTGGGCACACACCGCACACATCATAATATGTGTTTGCCATCACGACAATGGAATGTTATAATAAAATCAACTAAATTGAAGTAACTGTAATGAATGGACTATTGTACTATATTTCTACATACATAATAGTATATGGATAATACCTACCGGTAATGTTATGAGGAGAAAAGGATAACAAAAATCATGTTTCAATCTTGAAAGATATTCCACGGGCAGGACCCGTAACTATCAAAACAAATAAAAAAAAAATTATAATGTTTTTTGTGACTTTTATCCGTGTAATTATATTTACATAGTAAATTCATATAGGTGCCAACCCTAACCTAGTAAATAACACGAAATTATTTTAGTTTTTTATCACATTCCTCTTCCATGTATCGCTATTCCTTCTTCGTTTGCTTGTGTAATTAGTAGTACGTGTTGAAGTTTGCTCCATGATAAGTATCAAACACTAAAGAAGAAACTTTAAATCACTAAAAACTCAAGTCAAAAATGTATTGAACTGCACATTCTGCCTTGTTGCGACGCTACTGCAGAAACTCTTCTGATTGGTTGAAATTGAAATATGGCCGGTTAAGATTGTGAGATGAGAAAGATTGCCATCTTTGAAACCAATTTGTGTTTTCAATCAAGTTTTTAAGGGTATTATGGTCATCTGTAATTCTGAATGAGAGATTTTTAAGATTTGTTTTTAAATTTCCTGTATGGTATGGTAACATACTCGTATCTAATTTTTGAAAATCTACCTACTTTGCCGCCTTTGATACTATACGACTCATATTAAGTTGGCAACGTTTATATTAGTACTGTTTGTAGCAGGTGCTGCCTCCGAGCCCCCGACTGTATACTTTTTAAAGTTCGACTAACACGCTATTTTGAACTAATTGAATAAGTAGAAAATAGAGTATATTTTGATTAACTATTTTAATTGGGATTTAAAAAAGTTTAGAGGGTAGTATCCCTTTATATTGCCTTAAAGAAAGGATGCATATATGTCATTCCCCAAGAGACGTGTTTTTTTATAGAGAGGTAGGCAAACGACTCTACCCCACCAGATGTTAAGTGGGAATTCTTTACCCGCGCACGTGTTCCTTCCTTCCTATAATCTAGGGTTGTTTGATTTTCCTTTCGGAAACTGTATTTATTCAATAAAATAATTTACTGTAACTAAATATGTAACGTTTTATTTATGAGCAACGGAAGAATTTAGGTAATAAGTAGGTACATATAAAATTCTTTATTTAGGGGATTATAGGGGAATTTAAAAAATACTTAGAGGAAAATTTTGGTAAAAGTTGGTAACACTGCGCACAAACCGTGCATTTGCCGTGCATGCCGGTTTTTGGCGGGATTTGATCGAGTGTGGTTGGCGTCTTATTTTAATTATTCTTAAATTCGTTCATAGTGGATATTGTGAAATAAAATTTGTGTGATTTTGTATTACAACTGTCTGCGTAACTGAAAAATTAGTAGAATCGTCAAAATATATGCTATTCCGGTCAAGTGGACGTGAGAATTTTATTGTAATATTGACTATCACAGAAGCTTATCGAAAAAGCCAGCTCGATACATTTCGTGCCAAACACTTCAAGAAACATTAGAATGCGTCACACCGACATTGTAATTTATGCCATAAAAAAAAGAAAAAATATTGAGTCTCGGCTGTATGGGCATTGTTCCCCTTGTCTTCCCAGAAAAGGAAGAACTTAAAAAAAAAAGAAGATACTTCTTGCTTGCGCGTGGGAATTTATTATTCCTTTGATTTATCTTTTACCCAAGGACTGTAACCTGTATAACAATCAATTCAAAACAGAAATGAATAACCAATTAATTGAAAAGATCGTCGAAGGTAGTGGTGAGACGTGCCCAGAGCTAGCATTTGCTAATGCACTTTTAGACAAAAATGTCGCTAAGGCGTTGTCGAAGAGCTTTGTGAAGATTCTGAACTTGTCTAAAGACAGTTCAAACGTTAACAACAACCTGAGACATACGATATTGGAAAACATAAGGAAATTGTGCACTGTGCAACCAGAAGGGCATCTGCCAGCTGACGAAAGTGTGACTGAAGCTCTCTCGGAACTTTACACCAACCATATCGCATCGACTTCGTTGGAGTCTGCTGACAAAGACCTGGACGCCTTCATCATGAGAAGATTCAAGTCCCTACAAATAGAACCGCAGCATCAATCTAATGTAAACCCAGAGATCATCCAAGCTTTACTTAATCTCAATGAAAATGGTGTATATCTCGAATTATTGTCAAAAGATATTGTTCACATGAACCAAGACAAAGGTAATGTCATTAATCTCCTAAAATCCATTTGGGATTATGATGGTATGGATGTTGCTTATGATGATGTTTCAATTAAAATGAAGCCTGAAATTGAAAAACTGCTACTGCAGACTTGCCATGGTATTTTAGATAACAGTACCACAAATGTAGAGAACATTTTAAACAGTAAAGATGAAATAGTTCAATTAATCAAAAGGTGTGCAGTATCAGCTGAATGTTTCCAGATTTGTTGTGGTATATTTAATTTTCTATTTATTATGACAAACTTTGATTTAGTATTGCAAGATTTCATCCAGTCTTTTGTAAAACAAGTTAAATCGCTATGCCCTAAATTAACTTACAGTATATTATACCCAGTTCATATAAATTATGTTGTTGTTCTACTAGATATTGATATTAATAGTTTACCGGAACCGGTAAGATGTGGTTATACTACGCCCACCCTAAAGCATCTGCAAAATGTCCGTGATAATTCTGAATATGATTTCATCATGTTATTGTCACATTTCCCACAGTGGTTTGATATTTATTTCCACACACCTATGGAGAAGTAATTCAAATAATATCACCATGGTATCATAGTACAAATTATTGATAGAATCCTTTTATTTTTATTACATAATTTCATGTATCTTTTACTATTGAGTATTTGGAAAATATTCTTTTACTGATTTTAAGAGAATTTTTATATTTTTACTTTATTGATAATGACTGACTAGATTTTAAGTTAAGTATAGTTAAAATGTAATCTCACAAATATAAAACTTTGGTCTTTTATGAAGTAAGTTGAGTATTTTATTTAAGCTTTTGATTTACATTTATAGAAAAATATACTTAAATATTACATATTGTAAAAAACAATCAAATAAATAAGATAATTACTATAAAATATCTTTATTTAAATATTTAACCATACACCAACCTATAATGAGAAATATTTCTTTGAAAATAATGAAAAAAGACATTTAGCTAAATAATCCCAAATTCAATGTCTGCACATACAATATGTCAGGATTTTTACTGCATTTAGTGAGAACTTCATCCTTGTACCACTGTATGAGTAACTTTTGAACAACTTCAGCATTATTTTTCCTCTGGAAATGTCTCCATGTGTTTAAGTGTTTATCCATTAGTTCCCAAAACGGTAGAACTTTGTTGCAAATAGCACAGTGGTAAAGGTCAGGACGAATCTGTGTAATTAAAAAAAACCATTAATGCAAAATATGAATTTACAAAAATAATATTCACTCTGATTTCTGAAGCTCAGCTGTTTTATTTTGATGTAGCTATCTTCTGATCATAAGGATATTATCAGCTTACTCAGCAACTTTTTTACAAAGAAGGAGCAGAAAACCTTCCCCTTGAAAGCCTGGAAACCTTAACAATGTGTTCTCTTTCCACATAGGAGGATTTTATATTTTCTTTGTGAGATAACACATTTGTAATATAGCAATTAATAACATAAATACTAATATAGTTTTAATTATTTACTTTATAAGTGTATAAACTGGAAGATACTAATTAGTAAAGTAATTAGGAAGTAGTAAAGTCACTTAACATCGGGTGGATCAGAGTCATTTGTCAGATCTATCTATAAAAAAAAAGTAGATTATTAATACCGTTTTTATATAACATTACAGAGTACATTTTATAAATTATTTTGCATACATACTTCACGCACAAATTCATCTGCTTTTTCTACTACAACTTTAGCAGCCAAAAAGCGCCTTTTATGCTCTTCTGTTTGATAATGCTTGGCTTCTGTACTATCAGTGTATACGACATCGCAAACGAAGCACTTCGTTTTCAAAAAGTGAGCAGGCTTTCTTACAGGCGCCATGAGAACAAAACCTGGTACATCAAAGCAGACATTCGTATTTACCCACACAACTCTCATCGTACTGGAATAAAATACAGTATCCAAATATTTGACGATAGGCACACATTTTGCTTTTGGAACCTTGTGCTCTCTTCTGCCTCTCAGCCCCTTTAATTCCAGGTGGCCCTTATGGCGTGCACCTTTCACGTGTTCCTTGAAAACTCGCATGCTTGCGGACAAACTCGTATGACACAAACTACAATAGCCCCTACTACCACCTTCATTTAACTTTATGCGGTTCTCTTTTCCATACTTCGACAGTTCTGATCGTCGTTTGCCATGATCCTGCACAGCCATATAAACCACTTTCTCTGGTTCATCTTCATCCGAACTGCCGTGAACTTGTGAATCTTTTGCTTCAGTCTTTACAGCATCACCATGACTCTTTTGGTGATCTAACATAGTTTTAAACTCTAACTTTACCACCACCTTGCATACTTTACATGATGCAGTTTCATTTGTTTCATCTACATCAAAATGAGCTCTTTGAGTGTCGATTAGTTTTTTGGCTAGCTCTGTTTTCTTCTTTTGTTCAGCAGAAACATCACTTGCAGTGACTCTGCCGACCACAGTATTTTTGTTATCACAATGTTCTTGGTCTGTCCAATGGGACTCAAAAGTTTCGTAAGATACGGTATTCTTACAGATGAAGCAATAAAATGTTTCATCGTCGATCTGAAAGGTGAACATGTAATATTATAAAAAAATAATATATGTATTTAAAAATTGGAATAATTGAATACAAGAAACCAAATTCTTATATTTCAAATATTGCTATTGAAAGTTCGGAATGCATTGATGTCGCAGGACTTTTCAGGAGAATATGTTATATAACATTACTGATAGGTTTGTTATTAAAGTGGAGTGACCTTGAATAAACACACCTTCCTATAATAGTCATCTTGATTTTTTTTCAATATTTTTGCATTAATAATATTCAACACATGTGAGGTCGAATTTGTGTGTTCCTTGGCTTTCACAGGCTCCACAAATTTACAACATATCAGGCACACCCTGTTGACTATGGAGTGCCATTGCAGCTCGGTCACAATAATGTTTGAAACTATAACATAGCCACAGTTATAACGACAAATTGCATTTTCTATTTGTTTATCAGGAATAGGGGTTTCTTTGTTCGCTTTGTGCTTTTCATCTCTAATATGAGCTGTAACTTCGGATACAGGTGATGTACAGTTACAGGCTTCACAATAATAGTAACCATCACTGATCTGAAAATAAAGACGGCAGATAAGTTTGAACAACTTTAATTAATCACGATAAATTTGGTACTTTATGAGCTTTGTAGGATCGTATAACTTCCCCCGGAGATACGTCTGAAATAGTTAAATGTTTATTACACTTTTGAAATATTCTTAAGGCGTTTTTCAGACGACGGGGCGTGGCGGGCATTTTGTCCGCGAAGCAATAAAAACCGCGTCTGCCCGTCGATGTCTGCGGCTGCCCGCGCCGTGTACACAAAGCACACGACCAGAGGCAGTCAGTTCAGGACGTTCGTTCTAGTGAATAGTCCATCACTAAAAAGCGCGTGGCGCGGACTGAGCTGACCGCCCCGCGCCGTCGTCTGTCTGTTACTGCATATAAACTGGTTTGTATGATCCACGGCGGGCAGCCGCGGACATGCGGCGCCGCCAGTGCCCGCCGGGCACCTGCGGCGCGGTCTTTTTCTCTGTGTGCGTTTGTAATATAGGATTCACTTTGTGCTATCGTTCGCGGCGAAATTGACCGGCCCGCCCCGCCCCGTCGTCTGCAAAGCGCCAAAGTGTTAGGGTTTGGGTAAAGTCAAGGCTGCAAGTAAACGACACCGTCAGTTACAGAATAATATAGGCACTCAAGCCTTAAACACGTTGACCTATCATACAGCTCCACGCATCAGTCGCCGGGAGGAAGTCAATGGATACCTGAGCCGACTAGTGGCCCCGCGGCCCCGGGTGCTCGCCGCTGGCCGAGTGCACCACGCAATTACCTTTCGTCGCGAGTGTTTCTTAACAGCAAACCAAAGCGGCGTTGGTCATTTTCGTGGATATAATGCGTTTTTTCTCCCCGTCAAGGAAAAAAAAAGATATATCATAAGATCATACTATCAGTGGTCTGATAGATATTTTTTTTATACAAGTCGCAGCCTTACAGTACCTTTTTTTAGTTTAAAATATGATTAACAAACATACCAAAAATGTCACTCTCAATGCCCACCCTATGCCCTAACCCAATTCCCTTACCACGTGGAGCCCTGGAACCGTTTAGCTTACCCACCAACAGAAAAAAACAAACGGTAGTATTATTTTCCTGTCTTTCGTATGGTGGAGTATACTTCCCCAGACGGGGGATCCAATCGATTCGTAAATCCACAATACCGTACCTCTCTTGAAATATATCTTATGTAATTACATATTATAAAATTCTCGTGTCACAGTGTTAATTACCATACTCCTCCGAAACGGCATGACCGATTTATATGAAATTTTATATGCATACTAGCTGACCCAGCGAACTTCGTACCGCCCTAAAAAAATAGGGGTTGTCCAGCGGACAAAATTGTGAATCTAAACCATTCTGAGATCCCCTTGAACACACACAAAAAATTTCATCAAAATCGGTCCAGTCGTTTAAGAGAAGTTCAGTGACATACACACTCACAGAAGAATTATATATATAAAGATTCAGTAGGCCTAAGAATCGGCTAAATACTATCTATTTTTCATACCCCTAAATGATAAGGGTTGTCTACACCTAACATATTTTTATAACGTAGCATTAAAAATACATACAACCCTAAATTTTCGCCCTTCTTCGTACCATATTTTTATGGCGATACGAAGTTCGCTTGGTCAGCTATAAGCTATAGCTATATAGTTTAAAATATGTGGTCACGTTAATATCCCTTTTATTAACGTGACCACATATTTTAAACCGGGAAATTTATGGCGAAATTATAATATGTAACATTAAAGCATAGCAATCGCAGGTCCCCGGCGCGTCTTGATATTTTTTCGGAATAAAAAAGTAAAAAAATCTTGTGAATAAAAATAAAAAGTATACTGCCTACATAAATTTTTAGTACGTAAATTTTATAATAAATATGCCATCTACCTAAAAACATATTTTATATCCGTTTCGCAGTTTTTGAGTGACTAAGCATTAAATATTGAGACATAGAGGTACACAAATACATTAGGAAAATGAAAATAATTATGTAAAAGTAAAATAATACTTGGGTAATCAATAATCATTAATCAATACAAAAAAAGAAAATACATTATTTGTTGTGATAAACATGTTGGTACTTACTTTTATATTAAATCCAAGATACTTACATATTTACCTGGTAATGATTATAAATAAGAATTGAATACTTGGCTTTTTTAATGGGCAGCTAGGAATGGGAATTAACATAGCCATAAGGGAATTAACTCTCAGAATTAACTTGACTTGTCAAACCATTTAACTAAAATTGTAGTTTTAGATTTTAGATGTACTAAAACCTCTGAAATAACTTCTGTAACTGAAAACGGAACAATTTAGAGTCCCGAATTTTTTCTCGGGGACACCGGGACGGAAAAGGGGAACAAGGGCCAGACCCGTTGAGAACGGGACGTTACTTATGGTCACGTACACGTGTAACTAACTATATACCTGATGCTATAAGTGGAGTCCAGTTGCGAAGATAGCAGATATGACCCTAATGTGCAACTCCAGAGATCTTTGCCTTGCCAGCCTTACCAGAATTCCTTACCCAAGTGGAGCCCTGGGTCATTATTATCTTAATAATTAAAGATATTAATGACCCAGGGTAATTATTACACGTATAGCCTTTGCGTTAATTGGATTTTGAAACTAAAGTGATGCACGTTAAGAATATAAAGAAAGAAGCATTAATTTGGTCTGTGAAAACTTTCCGGTGATAGAAATCCATTCTATTATTATAGTTGTGTGTGTCTGTTTGTTTGTTACCTCTTCACGCTACCGCTGGACTCTATGCCAAATTTTATAGTTTGAGTTCCGGGAAACACGAACGATGGAACAATTCACTTTAGCACAATTTAATGTATATACAACTACCTACCTAACTGTACCGATTAAAACGTATTTAACAAATAAGTACATATGTATGTATACTCACTTTATAAATAAAATCTTTTTTAAATTTAGTAAACAAAGTTTGTTCCTTCAAAATTTTTCTATGTTTCTCCCAGCGAATGTGCTTTTCCACATCTGTAACTCTTTGAAAATTCTCGTGACATAGAAGACAATGGTAGTCGGCGTCCCCGCATAATATGAAATTCTTGAAATACTTATTCATATTTATTGCAATGAGTAGATACCAGGCAATGTAGTAAAACTTTCAAAATTATTTTAACCCGATAAGATTGAATATTTTTTATCGACCGTCTTGTTAGTTTTAATTACCTACTAATTTTAGTAGGTACTTACCTACGTTCGATATTAAGATTCTGGAAAACTTATTTCCTACCCTCTTTATATTTTTAGAGGGTATCGTATCCCAAAAATATAGACAGGGAATGCAACCCGTCTATATTTGCAGGAGTGCCGGCAGAAGTGAAAACTTGAATATTAACGTTGTGCATTTTTGATATTTTGGAATAGTTAGGGAATCATTTTGCACGAATTTCTTTAATTATCAGTATAAAAGGACTATCATTTATGTGGTAGAATACAATATTTATTTATTGCGCTATCGTACACAAACATGACAATTTATATTACATTAAAAAGTTTAACTCTCAGAATTTCTCATTAAAGCGCACCTAGCGACATCTATTGTAAAAAAAAATCATTTTCTTCGCAATAAAGCTGCTACCTGTGCCCCTAGCACGAACGAACCATTATCGAATTCGTATAGTTTGCAAACCGAAATGTCAATGTCAAATTTTGTATGGAAACTTGAACAGCAGCGCCACTTTGGACGTAACGGGAACTAAAAATCAATACACATTTGGCAATGATATTTCGGACTCGCAAACGTCACGAATTCGATTTTGGTTCGTGCTAAGGGTACTGGACGTCCTAGATACAGACTTATTATTATAATACGATAAAATAAAATATTACTATGATTCGTCCATTATATTGAAAGTAACCAACCTTTCCAATTTTATTGTTTTCGTCTTGCGATCAGCCCACGTGTCATGAAAGGAGTTTACATTTTTTACCCATACAAAGAAAAGTTTACAAAGCCGCTAAAGAAGTTTTCACTTCAAAAAAAAGAACCCGTTGACATGTATTTTTTTTTGTATTTGTGTCTGTATAAAAGCTTGATAAAAGCATCGAAGGCATAGTTTTATTTAATCTTTATAGCACAGAATACTCTCAATTTTGTTATATTGAGTGCACATGCAGCGTGTTTGAATGTCGAATTGTGATTTTAAAGCGGTACACTATTGAGCCGCGAGTGTCGTATCTTCCCTTTTAATTTTAATCTAAGGTGGATATTAATTAAAAGTTTATTCAAATAACATGAAACTGATCGCGTCACAACACAAGTAAGATAAATATAATTTTGCCCTCAGTATTGCCAGTACATAACTAAAATTGATGTAGATAGTAGAATATCAAAGAACATCCTGACCGTCAATTATATTAGGGAAAATTAGGGAGATGATGCGTTTTAGTCCACTTGTAGCTGTTAAATCGCATATAGAAAAATGTCTAATCATCACTGTCAACTTGACATTAATGTATGGGATATATCTAGTTTTACTTAAATTGATTAAGGTCGCTAGATCGATTGATTGGTTTTTATTAAAAAATATTGGTTCTATGAAAAATCCCTACAAAGCCTGTAAAAAGTTTGTTTATTGGAAAATAGCTTCATATCGCGATTTTGTAAATCAAGCTGTAGGTGAAATTGTACCAAATATTTGTATTTATATTAATTAAATGAAAAAAAAAATAAGGAAGTAAAATAAAATTATAGAAAAGATAAATATCAAGTAGTTATGTACTTATAAACTTATATAAGCATGCAATATCAATACAAGTTCGTATGGTAAGTAAGGACAAATTAAATTGTTACAAATACTACATACACCTTAACACCAAAAGCTCCGTTTCGGCTGAGCAGCAGCCTCGAGAGCAACAAGGTTTGCTCAAGACCGAAACTGAAACAGCTATCGCCACTATTGTCTTTAAATTAATCCTCGACTGAAAATTAACGTTATTGGATGAAAAAGATATACGAAAACAGATCACAAGCTGAGAACAGATTATTTATGCTGTTTTCTAAACAGTAATAAAAAGCTAAGAGATTGGCAAAGAATATAATATTTATATTCTTTACCATTACTATCGGGGGGCACGGCAGTGCCCCACCCAAGTCGAGCGCGAAGCAAACACTGCCGTACCATCCTTTACTGGAACCATTTCGCCGCATTTTCAGGCCCCTATTTGAGAACCTCTGGATAAAACCAGAACGCAGAAATTTTCGTCATCCAGTAAGCTTTATTAACATACTTAAAATCCAAATTTTCAAGTCTGTAGGGCATTTACTTCCGAAGTTAAGCGAAAAAACTATAAAAACTAGGATAATCGAAGATCTGGAATACCTGGTGACCCGATTAGAAAACAAGAGCCCAACCAAACTATTAGAAGAGATCGACATACCGACTTTACAAAAAATATTCAACTTGGTGGGCCGCTTCATTTGATGTCAAGAATCGAAGGTCTGAAGTATCTGATGAAGAACCCTCAGCTGGTCTTAGCTGTATTAGAGATATGGTAATGCTCCCTTCTACTATTGGTACACAAAAAAATCGACTGTCATTGCAAAAATCCAGCGTAGTGGGACACATCTTTTAATTTAATCAAGCCATTAGCGTCCCACTGCTGGGCCAATGCCTCCCCTTCTACTTTTAATACGCATATAAATAAAATTAAAGGAAAACTCTCGATAATACTTAACATTATACTTATACTTACGAGTTTATAAGAAAAAATAGTCGAACGGTTAACTTTATTCTACTTGAACATTACACAAATTAAATAAAATTTCGCGCAAAATATGGTCAAAATATAATGAATTGGACTAAGAGTGGCGGTGATACCAAGGTCTAAGTCTAAAAAATGCCTTCATGGACATTGGCACCTCCATATTCTCTTGTGGCCAAGCCTACGTGGCGCTTTCACGAGTAACTAATCTTCATGTGGTGCATCTCATAAATGGTGTCTGTAGCACCTGGTTTTGTACGCTTGTGTACCCTTCAACGGCCAAGTCACACAACATTAACTATAATAATAAAGAAATCGTAGTAAGGAACCTTAGACTTGGCACGACTTTGTCTAGATTTCATTACTTTTTAAAGATAAACAAGCAGCTCCATCGTGACTTGGCTAGTTTTTTACAGAATGTTTTTGGTGGGATTTAAAATTCAAAATCAGTACAGAAGACGAGTCATATAATAAGTAATCTCAAGACGTGATAATTGTACTAGTTAGTGATTGTTATAGGTCATATAAAACATACAACAAAAGTTACTTCTCTATTCATTTTATAAAATTAATAGTAAAGTCATATAGCTAGTAACCCTATCAGAAGTTATTATAGGGACTAGTAAATATATATAAACCACAACTCGGACCTCCATAGTTTGAGGGGTGGTGTTATTATAGAAAATATAAGCATAGTTTAGGTTAATCCCTCTTCGAATACCTTACCTATACTTTGATAGTTTTTTCATGCACATTTTGCGTGTTCTTTACACCTCACGAGCTTTCTTATGCAAATGGTCTGTCAGCAGATATACGTATTCTACAACATGAGGTTGAGAATAAGTGTTTTGATTTCGGAACATTTCAGATATTTGGTGTTTCTATCAATACCAAAATGGGGTTAGTTGAGGTTTTGGTGAATAATGTTGTGAATAGAATATAAAAGTAGGCATTTTACATTTTTAACGTATTTTTTCCTTGCTTTCTTTCCCATAATATACACTTACATAAAAACTTGTACCCTCAGGTGATTTTCACACTGACACGCACTACACAGCGTAGCGCGAGAGTGTGGGTAGTTCGTTATGTTGCCTGCAAGTAACTTTCTTTGTATTTAAACATGCGTAGTGCAACACACTCAAAGCGCATTTATGCGCAGTGTTGAAGATCATGGTAGAAACTCGACATCATGTACGGGGGTTTGGGCCAAAACGCAAGGTATGGCACACGGAGTTTTGAAGTGCGTTATTAAAAAAATATATTCGTATCTTAGTATGAATCATATGATCCATTTACCGATTTTGTTCGTAAAATGAGATGTATCCTCTATCTTAAACATGAACTATTTCTTCTTATTTTATTATAAAATAACAGATAAGTTATATAACTGCACTTATCTGGATGAGTTCTGCATTATTAACTATTTTTAGTATTAAAAACACTTGCTCAGCACTGTGCTATAACTGCCGCAAGCTGCTGTGAAATAGGCCAAAAACTGCAATCCCATATGCATGTGCAGCGAATCCTGTGCGATGATGCAGAGCTGCACTCATGCATGCGGATGTAGATCTGAACTCCGCAGCGTAGTGCGTAGGTAGTGTGAGAATCGCCTTCAACCGTAAAAATAATAGACTTGCTATTTTAAAATACGTATTTGTTCATTGTAAGGCCATGACTACAAAATAATGGTAGGTAATAGTTTCTGTAGCGACGAAAAATAATGTAATAATATGTATTTTATCGTCGCTACAGAAACTATTACTTTGAAGACCTCTTTTAGTTTACAAATACCCTGAGTCGCGTAAATAACACTAAAACTGGCTTTTTAATGCGTTTTGTTTTTGTTCATTATTAGCCAAATCGCTTGTGCTTTTAAAATACCTTTAGCTTTAGGGAAAAAGTATTTTAGAGTTGGTAGCACTGCATTTCTGCTGTCATTTATCTACAATGGTGCCAATTCTGGCGTGATTCTCTAAACTTAAAACTGTATTTAACATCAGTCTCTCTTTTTCATTCTGTATAGAGAATGACAAGGATATACTGCTGCCAAATTTAAGTTTAGGTTTAGAAAATCATGCTAGAATCGACACCAATGTATTCGACTGAACGACTCTGCATCCAGGTCATGAAAAATTAAAAAAAATACTGTCATTTATTGGAACACGACCGACGCCTTGTCCCTTCTCTTTGTCAATTTTTAATTGTGTTGTGTTTCCATCAATTTTTTATAGATTAAAGACGTTCCAGAAATAAGTACAGAAAAGTATTCGAATAATGTAATTTGTTTCGTTTGTCTGCCCATGTAAACTTAAACAGACGCGTCGTGGTTAAGAGTTCTTCACGACAACGTTTTAAAGCTAAATCAACATGAGTAAAAGACGCCGGGCGTCTTCTGTGGCTAGCCGTGGAGCTGACGATGACAGTGACGATGCGCTTAGCAATCCAGGCCCACCACCATCTTCAAGAAAGAAGAAAAAGCTGGATCCTGTAAATATATACTTGTGGATTATTATATTTTTATTTTGAAGCATTTATATTATTTTTTTATTTTTGTGCAAAATTTAAAGATGCATAGTTTGGTTATTGTTTTAAAACATGTTTTTGTTTTTAACAATAATTTTAAACTGTGAAGGTATCTTTTAATGTTTTGAACTCGACCCTATTATTAAGGCTTTATGTAATTCATTTTAATGTGACAACCTCTATCGAGAGTTAGTGGTTTTAAGATATCTCCTACTTGAAGCCCTGGGTTCGAATCCCTGTGAGTCAAATGTTTGTATCACAATTGTGAGCATTTTACCTAAGTCATGGCTGTTTATATGTACCTACTTTTTATAATATAAATGTAGATTTATGAACTAGAATAGATTTAATGATTCATTACTATTCTATCTGTTACCCTAGTATCCCACAAACTTAGCCTTACTACTTATTTTCAGGCTAGGCCAATTGGTGTGGTTATAAAAATGTAAGTATTTTTTACTTATTGATATATTTTTTTTTATTTCAGGGAGAAATATGCCAGCAACTGTATGATACAATAAGATCGCACAAAAAGGAGGATGGAACATTACTTTGTGATTCTTTCATAAGGGCACCAAAAAGGCGACAAGAACCTCAGTATTATGAAGTTGTCTCAGAACCTATTGACTTGTTGAGGGTAAGATTCACTTGTGAAATACAATCATACAATTCGTAATTCATATCTTTCTCTTATATATACACAAATCTTCACACATGTACATATTCACACCATGAACAAAATCTAACATCATAATCATGGTATTCGTTTAATAATTCATTGTATTATTTAATTCCACTTCTATTTTTGTTTGGTTCTTTTTTTCTAATTATATTCTTCAGTATCCTACTGGACTACACTACTGGATCTCTGCAGGAACGACCAAGGCACTGTCCAAATATACTAACAATTTTTTTTATTTAATATAGGATTGGTTAAATCACTGCAATTATTCATTTTGTTTCTTCAATGCATTTGCTCAAACTGTTTGTTTATATATAGATGTCACTGGCAATCTGTTTAATTCAGGTATTCTATACAATACCTAGGCAATGTATAGAATGCCAGGGACGCCTAGGCAATGTATAAAATTCCTAGGAAATGTATAGAGTACCTGCTGGCTCACCTGCAATGTGTTAAATAAACAGATTTGCCTGTATTTATCTTAACAAAACCTATCCTAGCGTAGGCTCAATCAGTCCGATGGACTGATTTTTTAATTCTCACCCAATGATGATTTGACCAAGTTATAGTGGGTTTGGTTAAGTTAGTGTTGTGACCTAACCTTAGCATGAGCAAAGCGAGCTGAGCGAGCAAAAAGAGTGTACCATGTCATCAGCTGGAAAACAGCCAGCCACCTGATAAATAAAACAAGGAAAGTGACTCTTTGGAGCACACGTCAAATAAAACATTACTGAAATCATTCACCGCATCTGTGCAAAAATGTATTTTTAATATTTTAAGTCTTGCGCCACTTCCTAGCACCGCCCTGTCCATGCACTTTAGAATAATGGATTTTGATATTATACAAAAACAATTATTCATAAGCAAACAATCTTTATAAATACCTAATTGATTTATAAAACATATATAATAATAATAAAAGCCTTTATTCTCTGACCACAATAAGTAAATAATTAAACCTAAATGTAATAATATTGTTTTTCTTCTTACTTCTTATATTATATTATCCTGTTGTGGCATCACCATCCTGTACTCAGTCAGGCTGTCCCCGGACATAGGCCTCCTCCTCCTTATAAAACATAAGCATATGATAATTATTAAATTTAGATCTTGAATATTTCATATAAAATATGTAATAATTTTTTTTTTGCCAAAAAATATCTAATGTGTTACTTGGCTGTATGTACATGTCGTGGCCATATCGTAGATTTGATTACTTCATGAAATGCTCGAGCATTTTAAGTAATATTTTAATTATTTTAATTTTAAGTAGTAAGTAATTAAGTTAGCCACATCATGAAAGGTGACCATTTCATGATGTGGCTAACTTAATTTGACCAGATCATTAAATCGTCAACATTTAACGATTTGGTCATCCACATTTGGCCGGATCGTATAATTAGGGTGTCCATAAAATATTTATTAAAATCCAGAATATGTAAGAACTTGTTTATTGTTATTTAAGTCCGAATGACACAAACAAATTTAATTAAATTTTTGTAACAAAATAAACAAATTAAACATTTTTTTCCTAAATTGAACATCAAACATGTCAAGAACTTACACATTTATATTTAGAAAACTATCAAATATTTAGAAATAATAAGCTACTTTGGTACATATTACAATAGTAGACTTAACTGTTCTTCCAGGGCCCAAACGGTAATACTTCACACTAAGTTAGTGTTGTGACCATGACGCGCGAGCCGAGCGAGCAAAGCGACCGTGCCGCGGCAGTGGCCGGCGCAGCGCCAGAAAAAACTCTATTGAAATAGACCTTTTCTATAAAAGAAATTCAAGTATCACCTTTTGGGCCCTGGAACAGTTTTACACTATATCTTTGTACGGCATTGATTCTCATCCGCACTTTGTACCTCAACCGCAGTTTCCGAAATGTCATATTTTGACAGCCAGTAATAGTCCATAGATTTCTTTTGTGCAGTCACCCTACTCTCCTTAATTTGTTTCGTCGAAAACCCTTTTGTTAACTTTCTTCCTCATTAAATAACGAATTATGCACTTTTTCGCTGCGAGAAACAACATTGTCGGCAGCGGCCGTCATATAAATATATAAACAAAGCGCTTGCAGTGCCTCTACCGGTAATTAATGTAACTACTTTACAATATGATCAAATAATTTTCGCCATTTCATGAAGTAGCCACGCGTTTAGTTGGCCATATTGTGAAACGATTTCTCATCATTGATCTGCCCAAACCACATCATGATGTGGCCAAAAGATAGTGAAACATTTCATGAAATGCGACCATTTCATGAAATTCTCGAGCATTTCATGAAGTGATCAAAGCTACGATATGGCCTCGACATACACGTAACACCTGTGCCTCGTAAAAAAGAAACCCTGTATAAAAATAGAAAAAACGAACCTTTGTTAAATGGTTTATACCTATTTATTTTTTTATGTCCATGTAAAATACATTTAAAAATTTTGAATAACATGTGAGCATAAAAGATTATGCATGCATGCCACTGAAAGCAGGCTTCAAGTATTTCGAAATAAAAATGGTTTTGTATATGCACACATACAAATGCTGCCTTTCAACAATTCAACTCAGCATTATACTGTACTGTCTGTCGCATGCTATTCATTGCGTGGTACTATTTGCTGTGTAAAAAATTGTATCCCAATTATTTTATTTGATGCAAAGAATGCATGGGCTTCGGCTGTATCATCTGTTTACACCATGTATATATATTATGTATTTGATTTTAGGTACAACAAAAGCTAAAGACTGACACTTATGAAGACATAGATGAATTGTCAGCAGATATAGAACTATTGGTAAACAATGCTAAAGCATTCTACAAACCTGATTCTGTGGAGTATAAAGATGCCATTGATCTGTGGAAATTGTATACTCAAAGTAGACAAGCCTTGGAACATGGTACAATTCCCTTGTATTTTGTACAGACAGCCACAGGTCAAGTAAACAAAACTGTCAAATTGCTCCAACTAACTAAATTTTATCCATGCATGTTATAAGATTCACAATTTATTGAGGAAATCTGATAGTGTGTAGTAACTTGATGTGTTGCTGAATGTCTATTTTTATGTTTTTGCATCACCAATTTCTTGGAATTGTTGCTTATAAATGACAATAATTAAGAAGAGAAGTGCATAATTTTAATGTTTCTCTAGGTGAAGACATGAAAACTCCTAAGTTGTCCCGCAATGGCTCATCAAGCAGGAGATCAGATGTTGCAGAAGATCTGTCTGAGACTTCCACCAATAATGATGAGGACAATGTATTTGAGGAATTGTTTAATGCTGTAAGTTAAAAACAATAAAAAATATAATAATTTTATACACACAGAACATGGTTAAGGACTTTTTCTTTATACTTTGATATTAGTTGTTAGTCTTATTCACCTAACATTTGTTATTGCTCAGGTGATGCTCGCAAATGTCGATGGAAGGCCTCTCTATCCCGCTTTTCAATTTCTACCATCTAAACGGCGCTATCCTGAATATTTCAACGTTATTGAAAATCCCATAGATTTGAAAACAATTGCACAGAAAATTCAAGGGGGGGAATATTTGAATCTCACTGAATTGGAAAAGGATCTGCTGTCAATGGTTAGGAATGCATGTCATTTCAATGAGCCTGGCAGCCAAATATATAAAGATGCTAAAGCTTTAAAAAAGGTGGGTTGTCTTCTTTTTTATTCAAAGTGCAAAGTACATTTTGTAAGCTTTATATTCAAAACAGTTAATTAATAGTTGTGGTGGTAAACCAGTTTTTATGTTTTGTATCTTTTTAGCATTATGAGGATCATTACTAGGTCAGCAAATCAAGTCAAAATCAACAGTATAATGATCAAATAAGCTTTTTAATTATATACTTTTGTGACGTCACGGAGCTCGATTGTGGTTCACTCCGGTCGAACTTACAGTAGCGACTTTACGCACGCTCGCGCCCGAGCGTTAGAGCTCTGTGACGTCATTGCCACCTCGCGGTCAGCCGAAAATTCGTTTAGTAATTTGGTCATAACTTCGTCAATATTTGTCGTAGAACAAAAATTTAACCACTGTATTTTATGGAATCCTTAGATCTTTAAATCTAAATTCTCAACTAAAATCATTACGGATCCTCATTGTTTGATATAATTGTGCAGTGAAATAATGTTAAATCGTCATACTATTATACATACATAACAATGACATCTTCTCCCATTCCAGCTTATACATTTTTTTTTAATTTCACACAAAAGTATTACAATGCTTATTCTACATTGCTTGGATTGTTTTTAGCATAAATATTGAGATAATTTTCCAGGTAATCACAGTACGGAAACAAGAGATAGATCAACACGGGCGAAGTGGGCCCGCTAAAACATCAGAGCGTATTCGCAGTAAAAGGACTTCAAGAGTAGGACCTGTGCCATCCAGCAAGGCATTAGCTATTATGGAACCGCCTGGTTCAGATCCAGAACCGGAGGTCAAGGTAGAGCATTCTAACTTTTTCCAATTCTGATATATTATGTAAATTAGATAAAATAATTGTTTGATTGCTAGGAAATTGCAGCATGTCATTGACTTAGAGGTGATGAGCATACTATTTGATATCTTTTATTTTATAGCATTCTGAGGATAGTGGTGGTGACAGCGATGAAGAGAAAATAGATAATGAAGACTCTCCACAGTGGAAGCTGCTGGAAATTGTAAAAAATCATCTGGGTCCTAATGGTAAATATAACATAATGTACTTAACTAATCTATGCTTCAGTGTAGATAGACTTGTAACATACATATAAATCTTTTGTGAAATTTTTTCTAACTGATGGCGAAAATAACCACTAAATAGTTTTTGAGATTATTGTAAACACATACAGCAGGATACTTTATAAAGTACAATGATAAATTCTGCAATGTTTTAACATCATTTCTCCAATGAGTAGATAATAAAGATAAATGTTTTGATGACACACAACTAAGAGTATTTGGAACTCCCAGGAACCCCAATGGCAGAACCTTTCTGGAAGCTTCCGTCGCGGCGAGCATACCCCGATTACTATAAAGAGATTAAGAACCCTGTATCTCTGAACCAAATCAAAAACAAGATCAGGCGAGGCAACTATGGCACCTTGTCGGAAGTAGCTGGCGATATGAACATCATGTTCGAGAATGCCAAGCAATACAATGTTCCCACTTCGAGGCTCTATAAGGATGCTGTCAAGCTGCAAAGGTAAGATTCTTATTATGTTTTACAAACGATTTTTTCTGTGTCTGCAAATTTACCTCTGAATTAAACATTATATTTAATCTAACTAATCCCATCCAATAATAGATCAGCGCCTAAGTTGTGTATGTGAGAATAGGTTTAAAATACTATTAAATCCTGGACAGCTTCTTTATCTTTAATTTACTGAAGACATTTTTTTAAGATGGCTAAAGTTTACCCAAAGTATAATAACATCATAGGTTTATTGAATAAATTTCTTCTTTAGTGTTGCGGGCATCTATGGCGAAACATGTGCTCGTGTACCTCCTTCCGTGACATTGTTTCTTCTTTTTCATATCTTAACTTTAGGTACAGCGTTCTCTAGCTAGGAGTTATAAAAACTACATTTAAGTAGCTTAATAAATTCATTTTATAGTACCTTTATTTTATATTATTAGTTACCATAATATTATGCCATATCGTACTGTACAGCTAGATGAGCAGCATAGGATGGTCGGCAGACTTTGTCGTATACGAAGCCTGCCTGCATCATCCTGCGCTTGAACTTACTGAGCCACCTCAAAACGGTTTACGGGGGTTGAAGGACTTGCAGTTGCAAATAGTCAACTCATCTTACTTCGTTGTGATTATGCGCTCCCTGTCACTTGATTGTTTTTTTTCTAACACGCTTATCAGTTTTGTCAATTAGTATGGATGAACTGGAATCATGTTTTCTCCTAAGCATGGACAAGTTTGGGTGATTTGTGGTCACCCCGTTTAACAAAGAAGACAATTTACTATAACGAACAGAATGTTTGAAAAATCCCCAACCCATCAACGATTTTTGGATTTACTCTAGCGCGGCAGAATAACATAAGGGCGCACCCCTTTTAATGTATTCCCATAATACTGGAGCCCCCTATGTAGGGTCGAACTAACTAAATTAATTCCCTTGTTTCATTAATGTTCTTTCGTTATAGTACTTGTACCTATTTAACTTAAAATAACTAAAGACCCCTGGGATGGAATTTCATGCGCTTTGGCACAGATGATCATGACTATAATACCTTTCAAACAAATGTAGTTTAAGCCATATATTTTTGCCCAATGTCCTTTCGTAAGGGGATTTTTTGTAATTACTATTCACTACAGATATAAAAATCTTTTTCAAAAGGCAATTTCTGGTAAAAAGTACTTTTATTTTGCTGATCTATTTATTATTGCCTCTTAGGTTAAGGTAAATTAAACTATCCAACATTTTGTGACAAGTTTTTAATAAAACAACAAAATAGTACTTTGCGATTTGAGTAAAGTGGTATTGTTGGTACAGTGAAGAAACGAGGTATTTAGGTTGGTAAAAAATAACGCTTACAACTCCGTGGTCATAACTGGTAATAAGAGGAAAGGAGAAGAAAAATAAAATAAAAATTTAATGATCAGTATATATTTCTTAACGAGAGTACATATACACATAGTTACATTATTATTTTTTATATTACAATACTAATCTTAAATCATGCAAAACAATAACCTTAAGTATTAAATTAATAATATAGAATTACAATTTAACGTTTGACTTTATTTATAAGATTTTTAAATAGGAATAATTATGCTTTTTAATTATCTCTTTTATACTTTTCACATCATTCATTACAATTTTTATCAATAGTAAATTATTTCGTAGCAGTTTTCTCACTTGCTTCATTTTTAAAGGGCTATAGATTACTTGTTAAAATTTATTAACAGTTTGATGTATGTCATTTTTTTCAAGATTTTGTTAAATTAAATATATGTTAAATTATTTCATATATATATATATATATGTTTCCTATTCATGGGTTATTACGGCAGAACTCATTGTTTCTTAAATCTTCTCGTACTTTAGGTCATAAATTAATCTTTTACATATTTTTTTTTAATGATACATAGCCGTAATACGTCCGTGGATTACTTTCATTAAATAACTATCATAAAAGTTCAATCTTTGTAATTTCAGTGATGTATCATTATATAGTTTCTTTCGTTTAATTCATTTGATACTCATACTCTATAATTAACATTATTTAGGCGCGGAAAATTATGCAGTTTATATTACAAATTTTACGTTTGACTTTATTTATAAGATTTTTTAATTAAGAGAAAACGTTGTTTCTCAAATATCTTCACGCTTTGAGTCATTGATTAATCTTCTATATTTAAATATTTTGAAGATACTCAGTCGTAATATCACCGTGGATTAAATCTTTTCCTTAATAACTTTCATAAATGTTTAATCTTTGTAATTTCAGTTAAGTATCATTACACAGTTCCTTCGTATAATTCACTTAATACTCATACTTTATCATTAACATGTAAAATTATGCAGTTTATATTACAAATTCTACGTTTGACTTTATTTATAAGATTTTTTAATTAAGAGAAAATATTGTTTCTCACAGTCGTAATATCACTGTGGATTTAATCTTTTCCTAAATAACTTTGATAAAAGTACAATCTTTGTTATTTTAGTGATGTATCTTTACACAGTTTCTTTCGTTTAATTAATTTAATACTCATACTCTATCATTAACATTATTTAGGGGCGTATAATTATGCAGTTTATATTACAAATTTTACGTTTGACTTTATTTAAAAGATTTTTTAATTAAGAAAAAACATTGCTTATCAAATATATTCATGCTTTGAGTCATTAATTAATATTTTACATATTAATTTTTTAATGATACATAGCCATAATATAATTGCAGATTACTTTCACTAAATAATTATCATAAATGTTTAATCTTTTGTAATTTCAGTGATTTATCATTACACAGTTCCTTCGTTTAATTTATTGAATACTCATACTCTATTATTAACATTATTTGAGCGCGTAAAATTATGCACTTTATATTACAAATTTTACGTTTGACTTTATTTGAAAGAATTTTTAATTTGGAGAAAACATTGTTCCTTAAATCTCTACACACTTTGAGTCATTAATTAATCTTTTACATATTTTTTTTAATATATATCGCCGTAATATCACTGAGTATTAAATCTTTCCCTAAATAACTTGCATAAAAGTTCAATCTTTGTTATTTCAGTGCAGTATCATTACACCGTTCCTTACGTTTCATTCATTCAATACTCATACTCTATCAATAACATTATAAAAGCGCGTAAAATTATGCAGTTTATATTAAAATTCCGCGTTTGACTTTATTTATAAGATTTTTTAAAAATTGTATCCATCTGCCTATTTTTAATCATCCATATCTTATATATTTTACTTGTTCTGATTCTGTGTCGTACAACTCTCATAATTTAGCAGTAATGATGATGTTTTTTTTGATGATTACGATATTTTTTCGTAGTATACCTTGAATGCTGAGTCTTCGTATGATGGGTTTTTTTTTGTGTTTATGTCCTGTTATTGTCCACAGTGGTATTATAGTTCTTTTTATATCAAAATCTTTGGTAAGATTGCTTTAATTTTCACTCGATCTCGACACTGTTCTTTGGCGACGAAGATTTTCTGAATGGGTTTGCTTCAGTTAATTTTAAGTCTGTAACAACAAACACAATTTTTATTACTAATTATATAAGTGGAAACAATTAGGTTCTTAAATATATTAACTACTGCATGCAACTTTTTTGAGGCGTTAAAGTTTGTTTTTTTGCTAGATTCAAATAGTGATTTTTCGTACCAAAAAGTACGTTTACATTTTTAGATTGGTATTCTCGAAAGGAGATGCGTATGACGAGTGCTCTATGGCTTGAGATATAGAGCACAGTATGTAAGAGACGCCAATTTGTCGTAACAGACAGACAGACCAAGGAAGCGATATGCCTCCTTGGTATGTTTATCAGTTACGCGTTCATCCCTAAAAACCACTCAACAAACACAAACCACGTTAGATCATGAAATAAAACGGATTTGAGACACATTACTGTAATATTGGGTGAAATAGGGAATGAAAGTATGTTTAATTAATTATACAACGTGGGTATAAAGTAGATACAGCATTCAAGAATAAGATTAAATATTGAATGTCGTATTATTTTTTAAATGAAATCCATCAATAGAATTGTAGTATAAGTTATGGGACTATTGAATTTAATTAACTATTACGAGAAGAAGGACATGTAACAATCCCGTCAATACAAATAGAAAATACTTTCTTAAACTCTACACGCAAAGGACTTTACATGCATGATATCATGTTACGATGTTAGTGCGTTTCTGCAAATCATTTTCATATTAACGACAAAAAACAACAATCAACATACTACTTACTCGCAGCTGCTGCAGATGTGCAGCACCATTTGATAAATATGTCTTGCTTATATTCTTCATTACACACAATGTTTTATAAAGCCAAAAAACTACCGAACTCTACCGAAAAATGTGTTCACTTGAAAAGGATGATAATTGTGATTAAATTAGTTTACACACCACGAATATGATACCCCGAGCGGTTTTGCGCACATGCGCAGACTAAAGCGCCAAGGGCATAAATGACAGTTGATTATTGAATTTCGGGCTTTTATACCTGCCTTGGCGGCACGGATCGTACGTGGCGTGCCAGTTCGCGCAAACTACGTAGCGTCAGCGCCAACTTTGAATGTGGAGCACACATTCATACCTGGCGTATTATTGTTATAGGCAATAATATTCGTTTGTAAGATGTTTATTTAAATAATTATATTATATATATGTGTTATCGGGCGACACACTGCTATTTGATTTTTCTCGATATTAACGACAGGAAAAGCAAAATCGTTTAAACACCCTTTTAGTAACTACAGAAACGAGGACCAAAGTACTTTTTTTTTACAAATAAATTACAACTCTTTTTAAAATATAAAGAAGCACCATCAAAATTAAAACATAGTAACTAATAAAACAATATTTTGTAAAATATCCTTCTATTAAAAAGTTGCAAAGTGTCTTATAAAGACACACTGTTATCATTTTAAATTATTGTATACGTTGTTTTAAAAGTTTAAGAATATATGAGTGTATTTTAAATACCACGTGCCAGAGATCTTTGTAATGATGTTATTATAATTGCTTTTTGTTGGTATTCTGTTTCTGACCAAAGGCATTCATTTACCCAACGACGTAGTTAAGGAGATATAATAAAGTACCATGTTAGATTAAAATACCACGTGTTATGAATATTACAATATCTTGGCCATGGACGTACAAAAAAGCCTTTTTTATACGTCCTTGATTTTGGTGTTAATTTAATTTTGTTAGCCTTAGTAAAATTTTATATACTTACCTGTGACATTTATTGCAACCATAATGTTCAAAAATATTTTAATAAAAGGACATATTATGCTCACTGTTTGGATATAGCAAATTAAGGAAATAAGAAGTATCAGTTTATTTGTTGTGGTCGGTTTTTTAGGTATTTCATTATAATTTATCAATTATGTATTCTTATATACCATAATAACACATCTATAATTTTTATATTTTTTTTCCCGTGAGCTTATTATAAATCCTAACAGACATATTATAAGTAGTTACTTCATGAACATAAATTGAAACGAGAGTTTATCTCTACATATGTCTCAATGAATATTTTATAAATACATAATCACGGCTTTTGTAAAACTCATTATATTTTATGACAGACTTTCTTATCTTTAAAATATATTATGCAAGGTAACGAAAGTTTTTTTTTTGAATAAACGGCCTATATTTTCAAATCAAACAATATAAAACAAACAGAAAATTAATTGTAGGGCGGTTTTTATACATACGTATTAGTTTTTTTTTGTAGGATGAACAGTACAGGGATTAAGGTGAATTATTCTGTTCTCCTAGGTTGATGCAGCAGCGCGTTCAAGAGCTTTTGGACATAGTTCAGAGCTCATCTAGCGATGACGAGAGTCTATCCTCTGTGAAGAACCAAGTCAACACTCCACGCCCGAGAGGTAAAAGAGAAAAAATATAATTTGTACACATTAATAGTATATTGTAGGAACTTAGTTTAAAATGCCTCTTCTCTCCTTTCCATTTCTACAAACGACAGTGTTTTTTTTTTGTTTACGAACCTTTGTCAGTAAGTCTGATTTTCATTTGGCCTTAAATTATTGATAAACTACTAAAATAATATAAAATGCATTATAATTTAAATTAATGTTGCTTTTACCTGCTAGTGTTTCAATCGCCTTCCAATATATTACATATATTATATTTGCATGGTATTAGTCATATTTACATTAAGAATACTTAGAGGGTGGTATTTTGAGATAATAACAAGTCGCACAATGCGAAAGGGTTAACGAGAAATGTATTGTTCTAATGACACCATTAAGTTGTAGATAAGAAAACCCTCGTGTTATTAATTAACAAAGGGATTATTTCTTTTGAATTTTATCATTAGTAATTGTTATTATTTATAATAAGTTAGAAAAGACTTTCGGTTTATGATGTACTTCTTTCTTGCTGTTATATAATTGGAATTGTTTTAAATTGAAAAGCGCTGATATTGTACAGCTTAAATAATAAGCTTTTAGCTTATAACATTAACATTAGGCTCTTTTTTGGGATGGTATTGCAAATACATTCATTATTTGCTTTTGGTATTGGCCAGTAAAAAAATGAAATAAAGATATCTTTTGTTCAAATTGACTTATTTAAAGTCCTCTTTCTCCTAAACTTTCCATAATAATAATATGAAAGTAACTCTATACTGTGTCTGGTTCCCCTGTTTGTCAGTCTACGCTTGTTTTCATATTCGCTTAACTAACTTTAATGAATTTTGGTATGGAGATGAATTTTCGAAGCGAATTTTCTTATCCAAACATAAATTGTTAATCAAGTAAAATAAAGCTCATAATCATTTGGAGAAAGACAGTTTTCTGGTGTCTTGATTTGGAGCCTTTATCCTGGTATGATAACAATAATGTTTTGCAAATTATGTAATAAGCTTTTTTTCAACAGGTCGTCCTAGAATTAACCCGCCTCCTGTGGTCGCGCCGTCGCCAGCGCCATCCCCTTCGATCTCCAAGCCTAACGTGCCCTTGAAGAAGAAACTTCACTATATATCCAAACAACTTGTAGAGTACACATGCCCAGACGGCCGAAACCCGATGTTACTATTCATGGAGAAGCCGAGCAAGAAACTATATCCTGATTACTACAATGTCATAGATAGACCCATTGATATGCTCACCATTGAAGCTAATATCAAAGTAAATATTAATATGTGAAAAATTTTGTATACCTTTTAAAGCTCTTTTTGCGCTCTAAGGAGTGAGTGTGTTAACAAAAAAAAATACTATCTTGAATTCTTCAGTGTTTCGTACACTACTTGTTAAATTTTTTTGGTCTTGAAGTTTCGCAATCGCGCTTATGCTGTTTAGTTACATACTAAATTATTACAATACCAGCGGCCGCCCGCGACTTCGTACGCTTGGAGTTAGTTAGAAATAAAAGTTCACTACTAGTTCCCCGTAGGTGATAGCGTGATAATAGCCTATATGTTGACCCGTCATCATCATCAACCCATGATCATCCACTCCTGGACATAGGTCTCCCCTAATGCACGCCACTGCTCCCGATTTTGTGCTACTCTCATCCAGCCCACTTCAGCCAGCCTACGAATATCATCATCCCATCTTGTTCTGCGGCTAATGTGACCAGCCCACTGCCATTTCAGATTGCTAATTCGGTGGGCTATGTCGGTGACTTTGGTTCTCTATCGGATTACATCATTTCTGATCCTTCAGGGATACTCCGAGCATAGCCCTTTCCATAGCTCTCTGAACAACTTTAAACTGGTGGACTCGTCCAGCCGTGAGTGTCCACGTCTCGGCGCCGTATGTCATAACTGGGAGGACGCACTGGTTGAAGACTTTCGACTTGAGACATGGAGGGTTGGCTGACTAGAAGACTTGACGAAGCTTACGAAATGCTGCCCAGCCCAACTGAATTCTTCTACTGGCTTCTCTCTCGAAGTTGTTTCTGCCTAATCGGAGTGTTTGTCCTAGATAGACATATTCCTGAACAATGTCGGGAGGTACTCCATTAATAGCAACCAGTCCCGGATCAACGAGCTCGTTCAACATGACCTTGGTTTTATCCAAGTTTATCCGGAGACCGATGCGTTTGGAAGATTCCGCCAGGCTGCTCACCATCTCCTGTAGGTCTTGCAGGGTTTCAGCCAGGATGACGATGTCGTCTGCGAATCGGAGGTGTGAGATGTTTCGCCATTAATATTTATTCCACGTCTATTCCAGTTGAGCGTTCCGAACATGTACTGCAGCGCAGCGGAGAAGAGTTTCGGGGATATTACATCCCCTTGTCTCACACCACGGCGCAGCAGTAAAGGCTCGGTCTGACCATTCTTGAGTATGACAGACATATTAGCGGCGTCATACAGACATCTCAGCACCTCGATATATCGCCAATGAACTTGGCACCTCTGCATGTTGATCCGACTTCTAAATAATATTCGTGCCAAAGAAGTAAATCCATGTAGTATTTTTTGAGTTTATCCCGGACATACAGACAACCAGATATAAATCCTAAAAACTATATTTTTGGCTTCGGTATCGATTGTAGATCACACCCCAAGTATTCTTTTAAAAAATATTCAATGTACAGTTTTGACTTTCCTACCATTTTATTATATGTATAGATATGAACTTTAATGACTACCTCCATGTAGCATCATTTTTTTTTGTCTCTTTTCTCATGAAGTTAGAAATCTTCATGTTTTCTCCTTCGCCATTTTTATTCATGAGAACAGACAGTAATTATTTTTGGATATTCCTCAGAACGATCGTTACATCAGCTTAGATGAGCTCGTATCCGATTTCCGCCTGATGTTCTCCAACTGCCGTCAGTTCAACGAGGAAGGCTCTATGATATATGAGGACGCGAACCTTTTAGAACGCGTGTTAAACGATCGCTTGAGAGAACTGCACAGCGGCCACGAACGGAAGACGCCCATCAAACTCATCAAGACGGTCAAATCTAAACAGCTGTCGCCGTTCGAACAGAAGCTGAGGACTTTGTACGATGCTATAAGGGACTATAGGGACCCTAAAGGTTTGTTTGTTTTTATAACAACATAACCGCGTTCTTTGGAAATATAGTTGATTGTTATCAAAAGTTTCGATTGGTGAGCTTCTAAGTTAGACAGAATAATGCACAATGACATAGTATTTTTCTGAACAAGATATTTCGTAATTCCATGTGTTCTGATTAATTGGTAAGTGTCAGATTAAAAATTAGTACAATATTTTTTCTGTCCCAAAAATATCTTGTCATCATACTACGATGGTCTTTGATTGTATTACTAACTAATATAGCTGTTATTACTACGTAATAAGTAGTAGATCCACTTAAGTAACCATAACAATGCGGTATCATGACAGTTATATAAAAGTCATCCAAGCAATCAAAGTCATCCATAATATAGCTCTAATTACTACGTAAATAAGTAGTAGAGCCACTAAAGTAACTACAAAAATACAGTACCATGACAGATAATAGTCATCTAAGCTATCAAAGTCATCCACAACACCAAAAATGTCAGGTCGAACTTCAAATCTATATGTAAACAATATATGCATAGAATTATCTAGGGAATGAAATATCATTCATTAATTTACAAACATAATATCGTGATTCATTCCTTCGTGACATTTCCAGCTAACCGCCAGCTAGCCCTAATATTCATGAAGCTGCCGAACAAAATCGAGTATCCCGACTACTATGAGCTGATTAAGAATCCAATAGATATGGAGAAAATCGCGCACAAGCTCAAGAATAACGTTTACAACTCTGTGAACGAGCTGGCATCCGATTTCATATTGATGTTTGACAACGCTTGCAAGTACAACGAACCGGATTCGCAGATATATAAAGACGCGCTTATATTGCAACGGATGTGTTTGCAAACCAAACAGCTGCTCAGGTAAAAGGGTATTGAAATAGTTATAGTTTTCAATTGTAGCTCTTTTCCATCATGAATTTTTAGATAACTGATCAATTATTATTTCGTGATAAAATCGTTATTTACCAATATGAATGATACATAATGGATGCCAATTATTTTTCATGCTGTCAAATTGCTTATTGTGGTGTCCATAAGAAGATGTATTCCAGCTCTATGGAATAGGTCTGTTTTTTGATCAATATTTATTAGTTCTTCATTATATTCAGTTTATTATTTATCTATGGTTCTATTTTACCTGATTATTCATAAATAAATAAATGATTGCCGCGGCTGGAGCTCAACCAAAAAGAAACAAGGATTGGTTGTAGCCCAACATGAGAGTTCAGTGCGGATAGGTAAGGTAAGGTAGGTAATGGAGGCACTGAATCCCTTTATTTTGTTTTAAGTGAATTTCTAATGTAACAATGTCAAGTTTTCTTTTGCTTAGCATGATAAAATCACGTTTATTCCCTTAATATTGTAGTTCCTTATTGCATATATGGAATATTGACTTGGGTCTATTGTTACAGGGAAGACGAAGATTCAGTACCAGACGTACCAGCTGCTGTACAAGAGCTTCTTCTGAATCTCTTCACTACCGTTTACAATCATCAAGATGAGGAGGGAAGGTAAGTAACTCTTCTGATTTTAAACGTCACTAGGACCGATATATTTTGTTTAGTTTTATTATTTTTCTGAGAATAAGTAACGGGGAGGACTCCTCTGCCCTGCAGCTCACTTTGTCGTTGCCCTGTCCAAACTTCACTTTTTATATATCGTTCATAATACCTTTCATTTTTTAAGTTTTAATATGAGCAGCTATCTTCGCGCCTGGACTCAGCCGCCACTTAACATAAGGTGGCGTGGAGTAAATAGATTAAATGAACAACCATGTACTTCCTTAACTATTAGATATAGTCATTGTATGCGTGGAATATAATAATTGGATCATAATAACATATTATAAATATTTCATACAATATAATAATAATGATGTTTATATTTTGTACCCTATGCTTAAACTCGTTTTCACTGATTCATAACTACCTATTCTAAATTTATCGAAATCCTTTTATCATTCTTACCAGCAATTACAAATTATATCCATCTTCAAAAAATAATCGTACACTATTCTTTATTCATTACCCATATCTAATAAGATCAACAGTTTACAAAGTACACACACACATAAAGACATCTGTTTACTTGACAGATGTTACTCAGACAGCATGGCCGAGTTGCCGGAACACGACGAATCCAACAACGGCGAGAAGGTGCGTGCCATATCGCTCGACCTAGTCAAGCGCCGCCTAGACAAGGGCCTTTACAAGCGGCTCGACCACTTCCAGCAAGATATGTTCGCTGTATTCGAAAGGTAAGTAGTCTTTAAGATTTGTCACAGTGAATTATCCCTTGAATCTTCGTGAACTCAAAGGTCTGCTTCCATATTAGACTGCAATTTTTTATATTAAGATCTGCAATCAGTCGTAGACTATAAACAAATGTGATGTGTGAAGTAGTGTCTTTTCCTATGTCTATCTCTCATTGGAGATATTTACTCCTGCTACATTAACTAAGTCTAGTCGTTTTCTAGTAGGGATGAAACGATACCATCTAGGTATCGATACTTTTACTCGATACTGTATCGGTCATAAAGTATCGATACCTACTCGGTATCGAATAAAAAGTATCGATTCTTACATGTATCGATAAATTTTGACGAACGATATTACAATTATAACTTCAGTCACAGTTTTAACTTGAAGAAAACAAAACAACGGCTCACGCCACGCGATGAACGAATGACTGACTGAAAAATTGGAGTAAATATTAATCATATACAAGGCTGCCAAATTAGCAGTAGAAAATATGCGTTCGCGAAACAAAAATTCCAACTAAACACCTTACCATAGTGTTAACAATCTGCCTATGGTTTTTTGATACTTCACAATGAGTAACCGACCGAGAACCGATACAAGTACTTACTTCACGATACTACTTGTTACTCAGTTCTAAAGTATCGACGCCAAAAGTACTTGGTATCGAAAGAAAAGTTTCGACTAGTTACTTGTATTTTCTCGTATCGTTTCATCCCTATTTTCTAGTATTACACGGCGATTCAACCGTGTCTTTATTTTTTATTTTATTAGTTGGCAAGCTAGGTCCTTCGAGTAATTAATAAGCTTCTTCTTGGTTGTCTGTAAGCATTGTTGGATCTCTTCCGTTATGTTTCTTATTTGCAAATTATCCTGTAGTTCGCTATTAGTGACAAATCATGGGGCATCTGACACGGTTCTTAAGATAATGTTTTGGAATCGTTGCCATATATATTATATATATTCGAGTCACTAGCACTTCCCCACAGCTGAATGCTATACGTCCAATACAGCTTCAGAATACTTTTATTAATTTGCAATTTATTGTCTATAGACAGTTTAGTATTAAGTCCCATCAACTTGTGCAGGTTTTTATATTTGTGGTTGAGCTCATCTCTTTTTGTTTTTATATGGGTTTTCCATGTAAGTCGCCGGTCCAAGTGCATGCCAAGGTACCTTACGGAATCATTATGTTTGAGTATATATATTACTGCCAAGGTGATCTTGTGGGCAGTTGTCCCGTCTCAGTATGGAGGTAATATGTACAGATTTTTCAGCACTAGCTTTTATCCTTCACTTGTTTAGCCAGGTATTTACTTTATCTAGCCCTTTCTGGAGCATTGCTGAAGCTAAAGCTGGGCTGTCATTTTTTGCCAAAATGGCTGTATTGCCAGCGTAGGTTGCCATTGTAGTTCCTGGCACTTCCGGTAGATCCGAAGCATAAATCGTGTAGAGTATGGGGCCAAGAATTGATCCTTGGGGCACTCCTGCTTTTATCTCATAGAAAGACTATGTGAAATTTGAGACATGTGAAGGTAGTAGCTGTGTCAGATTTTGAAGAGCAATCCATCATGTCAAACTCTGTCGAAAGCTTGCTGTATATCTAGGAATGCAGATGAGCAATAATCTTTATATTCTTGAGTATTTCGTATAACCCTGCTAGCTCCCTGAATCCAAACTAGTGGTCAGGAATTGTTTTATTTTGTGCAAGCATTATTGGCACAAGTCTAGGACCCTCTCGAACAACTTCGATAGGACTGGTAATAGACTTATCGGACGATAAGAAGTAATTTCATGCTCTGGTTTTCCCAATTTCCGAATATTCCGAAGATTATTCTTTGTGATATACTCGGGAAATGTTGTACTCCCAAGATGCCATTGAATAAAGTTGCCAAAAAGATTACAGCTTTTCTTGGGAGGTTTTTTAACACTTCTTTCGTAATTAGATCGAAGCCCAGACCAGACCTCTCTAGTTGAAGTTGGCTTAGATGGCAGGTCCAACTGCAAGTCTTGGTTTAAAAAGCTCTGCTTAGATAAGAGCGTTCTAAGTTCTCATCCCCTATTTCATCGGGAGTAAACACTTTTGAGAGATGTTCCGCAAATACATTAGCTTTGTCCTGTTTATCTCTGGCAAACTCGACCACTTCCAGCTAGATATGTTCGCTGTATTCGAAAGGTAAGTAATCTTTGAGATTTGACATAGTGAATTATCCCTTGAATCTTCGTGAACTTCTTCGCTTAGCTTAGCTTCGTGAAAGCATACCTTTGAGTATGCTTCCATATTACACTGCATTTGAACTAAAAATGTAGAATAAGTTAGCTGATAACTTTCAGACGTCTTTTAAAAGTGTATCAATTTATCGGGGTAGTTTTAGAAACTTGTGAGTGACGCCTTGTCATTTTTAGAGTTCCGTACCTCAAAAGGAAAAAACGGAACCCTTATAGGATCACTTTGTTGTCCGTCCGTCCGTCAAGTCCGTTTTTCTCAGGAACGCGTGGAGGTATCAAACTGAAATTCATCTAATACTCATGTCTACTGTCCCTTGAAGCTGTGAAAAAATCAAACTTCTAAGCAAAAGCAATCAAAAGATACAGCCGTTTATGCTGCAAATTTCCGCATATTTTCGAAACTCGCTAGGGAATCAAACCCTACAGAGTACTTTCCGTGAACTTAGAATATTGAAATTTGGTACGAATTAACGTCTTATAGCATAGGTAAAGGAAAAATTTTATCTTTGTATATAACTACGCAACTTTGATGAACCGCTGTGTCAGTGCATAGAACAACATGATCGAAGTTTGTTTTTATATATTCTGACTAGCATACATAACTGATCATAGTTGTCCATTAGGTATTCATTCTAAGTATGTTAAATATTAATTTATTTCCAGAGCCCGTCGCCTCTCTCGCACCGACAGTCAAATATTTGAGGATTCCGTAGAACTTCAAGCGTACTTCATAGAACAACGTGACTACCTTTGTCGTAACACGCTGCAATCGCCTGCACTCTCGTTCACTAGAGACACTTTAACTACCAGCGTGGAATTGGTCAAGCAATGCAAACTGTTGCAGGAGAATGAAGACGAAGACGAGACTAGGTGAGCTTGTAGAATGATGTTTCACTCATATCATACTTCATAGAACACGATGCAATCTCCTGCGATCTCTTTTACTATACTCAATTTAACTTCCTCTAAGACAAAAGGTCAACAAACCATAAAAAGGTATTTCAGTTGATCGAATTTTGTACGCATATAAAATTATAATTAAAAAAAGTGACATTAATAAACCTAAAACTGTAGCTTTACCTACTTATTGTATCACCCTCCCTCTTCAAGATTTATTTTCGCATCACGAAATTCAATAATCCTACGCTAAGTTCGCTTTATCTTTTCTCTTCTCGTCCGAGTGCAAACATCAGTTGGGTACATTTATTATTTCATGGACAATCTTGTTTATCAATTTTTCAAAATTGTGTTTAAAACAGATCTAGTACCGACGACTCCATGCCAGCGGGCAGTGCTCCACTCCAACAAACGCAATACAATAAAGGCGACTTCGTGTACGTTTTACCCGAGAAGGGCAACAAGGAACCCAGTATAGTGCAAGTCGAAAGAGTTTGGACCAACAAGGATGGGCTCCCTATAATGTATGCCAACGTGTATTATAGGTAAGTGATGAATTTATACTTCAAATTTGACTTTGAATAATCGCTAGAAAAATAAATTTAGCATCTAGTAAACTTTTTCAAGATAATTATTATAAAATATATCTATTAACAGAAACTTGTTATTTTAAGAAGATATGTTAGCTAGGTAGCATATTTTTTTGAATTTTTTTACAGGTTTCTTATTTTATACACCAGCAAAGGTTAAAAAGTAGTACTCTGTATACCAGTGGGAGTGCCAACTTGGCTGTTCGTGGTATTCGAATATTTTGGTATTCATTGAAAAAAAGAATAGAGTAAGAACAAGTCGGAAGACTCGGACAGGTATTCGAGTACTATCACGAGTATTTGAATAATAATCATATAATTATTACTATTCACAACTTACATTATGAGACGCTATATAAGGTGGAAATAATCTTACATAAGAAGTGAGAGTCTAATGCCTGAAATAGGTATGGCAATAACTGTGTTACAGGTCAGACCCATATTTAGTGAGGTTAACTGACCCGTTGGATAAGAAACGTAACATGTTCAAACCTGCAATGATTTATTATCACTTCTCGTGACTTACTTCACAATGCTCTCCAAGTGGAGTGACCACTTTTGAGAGCATTGTGAAGTTATTTCTGTAGGCTAATTCGAAGGTTCCTATTAAAGAACTCGATTTGAGATTCGAATACCGTAAGTACTTCGATCCTGTATTCGAGTTTGTGTATCCGAATCCGTTATGTTATATACTCGAGTACGCGAGTACCTGCTAGGTATTCGAGTCAGTCTGTCAGTATAGCCACATTGCAGGCACTCAACACACACACAGCACAGTATATTCATTCAACGTTTATTTATTTATTTTTGTTATTTATTAGTATTAACCAATGTACTGTTGACTGTTTTTCGTAAAAATATAAATTGTGTATAAATTTTGGTTTTAAATTTTTGTATTTATATATTTAGGCCTCACGAAACGTTCCACATACTGACACGCAAGTTTCTACATCAAGAAGTGTTCAAGACGGAAGCACATCGCACCATCCCCCTGGATCAAATCAGCGGCCACTGTTACGTAATGAACGTGAAGGAATACTTCAAGTTTAGGCCGCAAGGTAATCTTATATTTACAATATATATAAAAGGGTATACAATCAAAATTGTTAAAGTCCACAAAATTTTAAAAATGAGATTTAAATTTCATCACATTCATTTCCGTATCTATATTTATCCCGTAGATTAATTTTATACAAATTCTAGAAATATCGACTGTTATTTCAAGTTGAAAATTGACTTTACAAACAAACGTAGCAAAGTCCAGTGAGTTGTGTTTCAATTTGCATAAAGTCCTTTTCGACCAATAGGAAGGCTCCATTGCCTCCATTTCACTGACAGCCGTCATGGCCGCCTTTGATGAATCCGACCCTGTCCAGAGAGTTGGTAACAAATATAGGAAAGTCCTGAACATTTAGTTAGTAAACTTAGTAAAGTCCAAAATTTGGTAACATGTCTATTCACACGTCATTAGTCGCATATTACTTAGAATCTATCTCCTGGAGACCTTATTTTCCTGGAAAATTTCCTTCTCCTATAAATCTCCTAGACAGACTAGAGGTAAAGGTAGCTGTTTTTCACTGTGGCCTTCTGAAAGTTGAAGGATACTTTCCCTATACCTCTCTTATACATGAACTAATTTTGATTGTTTGATTTCCTTTACAAAACTTCATCGTTTCGTGTTCAGGGTACGCTGATAAAGATGTATACGTGTGTGAGAGTCGCTACAATACGAAGAACCGCTGGTTCAAAAAGATCAAGGTTTGGGAAGGTGCTGAGAAGGAAGCCACTCTCATTGCCAGGGAGGTGAGTTTTTTATAACAGCGTTCTCTTTGATTCTCTTAGTTTTTAAACTTGTGTCTGTCCACATCTTCACGTTAGGACGTCGTCAACGTGGAAAGGTGCGGTAACGTGGCCCGCGTGCAACGTAAAGTGGAGATGTGGACAGGCACTAATTAGTCGCTATTTGTCTCTTTTTGAGTATGAATGAACAAATCCACACGCATTCCGTGTCTGTTGCAGGGTGGGGACGAGGTCCATTCAAAATCCCCCATGGTCCTTTTCAATTTAAAATAAAAAAGCTAAACTGGCAATTTCTTAGTTTCTAAGTAGCTTCAGAAAATGCGCTAGACTCTTAAGATTTGATAATAATAATAATAACAAAGTAGTACTTCATACGCTATTTTTCGCTGAAATTAGCCATCAAAGATAGCGAGGTGGAAAATTGGAAAAAAACGAAACCTCTTTTTTACCATTTGTAAGATTGATTAATTTGTTAACTTACCAAAATGGACTCCAGAAAAGTGAAAATGTAACATAATTTGAAAGTTTATTTAATTTTAAGGTGTTTCGCTTTTCGAATAATGATATACTGATGGCAGGTCCCACTGGAGCCAAGCCGCACCGTGTCTGTGTTCAGGGAACGTGTTGAGAAACACAAGGACGAATTAGCGGAACTGGAAGTCTTGGAGAATGTTCAAGAGAAAGAGAGACCGGTAAGTTGTTAATGTGGTTTTATATTTTAAAATATCTCGGTTGCTCCTTACTGCTTCTTAGATATTAATACTTTAATACTATATGTCACGTCATGTAATACAGTAATAAGACACGGTAAAACGATATAAATCAATAAATAAGCAGATCCTTAGTTTACCCGCTTCAAGCTAGCAATGTTCAATGATAAATATTATTAAATTTATTATTAAAAAAAATATTTCTTAACGAAGTGTGTTATTAACTGCCTGATTATAATATAGACTGAAGAAACTCTTCCAATAGACTTTACGTTGGTTATCCATTTCCGATTCCATATATAGGCACAGAATTCTTCTAACGGAACACTTGTTAATAACAGGACGTAGTGATGTACAACCCGTTGGGCACAGACGACGAGAACACGTATTACGAGCAATACAACACCGTGTGCTCCGGCGTCATCAAGACCGGTGACTATGTGTATGTGGTGACGGATGGAGGCAAGCAGCTCATAGCGCAAGTCGACACCATATGGGAAACTGGCGAGTGAGTATCATTTTCATCATCATCAGCCTACCAAAGCTCCATTGCTGGGTTCCGACGTCATCAAGACCGGGGACTATGTGTATGAGATGACGGATGGCATATGGGAGAATGGCGAGTGAGTGTCATCATCATCAGCCTATTAACGCCCTACTACTGGGTTCCGACGTCATCAAGACCGGGGACTATGTGTATGAGGTGACGGATGGCATATGGGAGAATGCCGAGTGGTATCATCATCATCAGCCTATTATCGCCCCACTGCTGGGTTCCGACGTCATCATGACCGGAGACTATGTGTTCGTGGTGACAGATGGATATGGGAGACTGGCGAGTGAGTATTATCATCATCTGTCTATTAACGCCCCACTGCTAGGTTCCGATGTCATCAAGACCGGGGACTATGTGTACGTGGTGTCCGATGGAGGCAAGCAGCTCATAGCGCAACTCGACACCATATGGGATACTTACAAGTAAGTATCATTCTCATCATCATCAGCCTATTAACGCCTCACTGCAGGGTTCCGAAGTCATCAAGACCGGGGACTAAATGTACGTGGTGACCGATGGAGGCAAGCAGCTCATAGCGCAAGTCGACAGTATACGAGATACTGGCGAGTGAGTATAACAACGGCCAAATGTCTGCACTCACAGAACTCATTTACTTACTTACTTACTGCTGAGGCGCAACGATTCAAAGTGGATCTTGGCCCCTGCAAGATGACGCCATGCTCTGCAATCCCGGGCTAGATCCCGCCAGCAGTCGACATCCAAAGACTGCAAGTCCTTCTGCACCTCGTCGCTCCAGCAGTATCTGGTCCAAATGATCGTCGTCTTATCGGTCGCCCCAAATACGCTGTTTTTACTTTTACTGACTCGATCCTCTCCTATTCTTTCTACATTTCCGAGTCAGCGAAGTCTAGCCGCTTTAATTTCTCCTATATTGTTAATCTCGGGCACTAGATTTGCCAGCTCGATGTTCATACGTACTCTCCAGCTGCTATCCTCTCTTTGTGCCGGCCCCAGGATCTTCAGCATCCTCTTTCGGCGACTAACAGCTTATTCTCCTTTCTAAGGGTCAGCGTCCTAGACTCACAACCGTACATCAAGATCAGTCTAATCACTGTATTGTAGATGCGAATCTTGGTCTTTCTTAGTAATAGCTTGGACGCTAAGACCTTGTCAAGAGCAGCTGTACGCCTTGGGTACTGGTGTCGATCTCCTCTTCTGTTAATGTCTGTTACCGTACAGCCCTAAAATTTACTGACGCCCTTATAGGTCAAAGGGACCACCCTTTCACATTTAGATCTGTCCGATTCTCTCGTGTTTTTGTATCATGTGAAAGTACTCAGTTTTTTCGTGGCTTATTCCAAAGACTCCGTCATCTTCCGGACTTATTCTTTTAAATAGCGTACACGAGCTATTTAAGTTGAAAGGAACATAATATTTTGCTTTTTTTAATAGTATTTAAGATGTTGAAGTGTCTTTTTTGTTACAGTAACAAGTGTTATTTCCGTGGTCCCTTCTTGATATTCCCATCCGAAGTGGCCAACGTTATCAATAAGGTAACTCAATATTGATTACATTACTATTTACTGTTCGTTAACTTTTGGATTTTAAATCCATTTAATGTTCTAAACCTGGAAAAATCATAAAAAGATTGGCGTCTTTTTTTAATTATTTCTAAGTTGTATTATGAATAGAAAAGTTCAACATTCACTGTAAAATTAATGTCATTTTTAGAAAATAGTTAACAAGTGACTCATCATATATTTTTATATTCTATGTTATAAGCAGCCATTTTACAAGCAAGAGGTGCTTCTGACGACGATGCACGATACTAGCCCACTCGTGGGCATAGTGGGCAAGTGCTACGTGTTGGACTACGACGATTATCTCAAATGTAAGTTATTATATGACACAGCATCAATTATGTTATTTATTTATTCACATTATAGTACCGTTTAAAATCATGCAGCCTGGTATACATCCCGGCAAACTGCTTGAGTAACGACGACAGACATGGAGGCCTACGCAGTAGCAATTTTACATACAAAAAAGTCTATTGTGCAAGTTTATGTGCATGTAGTTTTAATCAAGAAGTTTGCCACAACCCATACAGCAAAATACGACATACGATACAGACTATGTGCCTGCATTGTAAGCTAAATTAATGGAATAAATTATAATTAACATGCAACACAATTATTGCTGTCACTCTTTTTGATATATTATCAATACAACACGTTACTTTATATAACATTAAATCTATATGGTGTCTCGGAATACCGCCATTAAACTTTATTTCAGTAAGACCATACATTATAAAACAAGACAAAGTAGAAGTAGAAGTTTCATTGCGAAGTAACATGTTTCTTCTTGTATCTTTCTATTTATACTGATAGTCCATATGTTTCGTCCCTCTCACACACAGGCCGTCCGACAGAGATAGCTGAAGGTGACGTGTACTTGTGCGAGTCGCTGTACGACGAGTCCAATCGCATCGCGCGCAAACTCAAAATGGGCCTGCGTAAGTTTGAACATACCAAGGACGTCACAGTGGACGAGGTGAGAATTTGACATTAATTTGACATCATTTATAATTATAAAAAAAAAACAGTAAGAGTCTGTTTCTGAGAGTTAATAAAGCTAAGATTTCATAAAGTCAACAAAACTTCCCCTTTATTTTGGATTACACGGATTACAATTTTGTTAAAACATTCTTGGACGACCGTATCAACTTCTCGTATTTTATTTCTAACTATAGCGAATAAATATCTGAAACACATGCATCTATAGAAAATAAAGTTTAAGCATTAAAATTTATAGTTCCTTGATTGTGTCTAATGTTTGAACTTAGTTATAACCTTGGATAACTTCCCATTTATTGATATTTCCTTCTTATATTTAATTAACCTACAATGATGTTTGTTACTTAAAAAAATATAATATTGTCATACAGATTTACTTCTTCCCTAAACCTTTGGGTCCGCCGCCGCTCGCCAGTTCGCACGACGTACAATCTTCGTCAAGCGCCTTCGGACAGAAGCAGTTCCACACCAACGTCCACATTGACTCTATTGTAAGATATTTTACAGTTTATTCTTGCATGATAATTGTACGATTATAAGCTAGTCTGACCTAGTCATTTGTGAGTTTTTAATAAGCTATAGTTTTTATTAAAAAAAATATATGAAGAGACGGAAAAACTATACATAGTAAAATAATATCGTTTGTAAACGGTTTATTTTTGTAAACGAAATTATTAAATTTAAATCAAATTATATTTAATATCAAGTAAGTAACTTGAATATTTACATAATATCATATTATTTTTAGTTTTGTTTATATGCTTAGTTTATTGTTGACTTGGTTAATAGAGAGCGCAATCAAGAAGGTTCATCAATCGTTTTTTTTTTTATTTAAAAGTTTTGATGTTGAGATTATATTTTATCAATAACTTTGCTTTCCTTTTGGATAAAACAAAAGAAACAATCCAGTTTTGTTGACGTCTAAAGGTTAAAACCGTACAACAGGATGTGAAGCCGCAATTCACCAACCTGATCAACACCACCATCGGCAGTCAGGACGTAGAGATGCTTCTGGAGAATTCGCTAGATGATTCGTCGCTCGCCTCGCCCGCCACTCCTCTCTCAATAGGTATATTTTGCAAAGTTTGTTTGCATTGAATAACGTTGTATGACACATATTTGCAGCACCAGCTATTATAAATAAAATAGGAAAAATACTTTAAATGGTTATTTTGACAAATTTCAAATAATTCTTTGAAAAAATAAATGCTGCAGGCTCAAGGCCTTTTTTATAACACGACTGCCCAAGAAAGAGAGAAATGTATTCATGGTTCATGTAATCAAGAGCAAGAATTGTACATACTGTATGTACAATTCTTTATTCCACCTTAACTTCTAAACGCCGGAACCGATTTAGATGTATGTGGTATCATTAGAATCCTTTCACCATCCCGGATAACATAGGATACCTAAACTGATGAAATTGACAATTGATAAACAGCAATTTCAACATGTCAATTATTTATGTCAATAATAAAAAGTTCTAATTATTACAATATAGGTATTATTTGAAATGTGTTAATGAGACCCTATCAAACATAGATTTAGATTATTTTTTAACGGCAGGCGTGTTTTTTTTATTATTTTCTTGTTTGCTTTCTGGGTGTTTACTGAATTACCTAAGACTTTAGCCGGACTCAAATCTCTCGAACCTTTATTACTTTCTCTGATTGCTAGCTGCCATTCTTGTTAAAATAGTCTCTGGTAGCCGTTACGAGTGGAGAGTCTAGAATTGAAACAAATTATACAAGTAAGTTTACAAAGTACATATTTAATGTGCAAGTTGTCAAAGATGCAATGCAAAATTAAGAATAAAGCAGATAGTCGAATTATGTGGTAAAACCCTAAAATAGAAATGCATATCTCATAAATACTATTTTAACAGGCAATTTAGGTACTACCCTTTCTCCTCCTCATATAATTTTTATTTCATAAGTAATTATCACCATCATTTACACCTCATAGGTGGCAACAGCAATCCTTACAACCCATCCTTGATGGCTACTCCAAGCCAAGAGCGGATCACCAGTACAGCAGTCACGCCGGCCTCCGGCAAGAAGAAGAAAGAACAGAAGCAGAAGATCGTCACTGGCTACATTCTATACTCGAGCGAAGTGCGTAAAGCTATTGTCGCCAATAACCCAGAGTGCACCTTTGGTAAGCATATTATATTTTTTGCGCTTATCAAACTTTTGAAAAATTACTTTTGAACGAGTTATAAAGCCCGAATATTTGTTTTACATAATATTTGACGCTTACGATCCCTATTTTGTTCTCAGTTCATGGAAACAAGACCAATTAAATATATCGTATTTATTTATTATATTTACACACTCCATTCATTAAATGTAACACTTTTTAGCAAGTAAACAGTGCTATACCTATTTATTTTCATTTATGGTTCCCGAATATACACGCGCTGTTTTACCTGTTAAAAAAGTATTTCTTTTAAATATACCAGTTTAAATGTGCTTTATTTTTATTGAATACTAGCTGACCCAGCGTACTTCGTACTGCTTACAACAATTTGATTTGAATGGACAAATGAAATTGTATTTTTACTATCTTCCTCGCAATTATTCGGATTTTTCTCCCCTTTTAAACCTTCCCTAGACCTCCACGAACATTTCAAGACCAAAATATGATAAATCCGTTCAGCCGTTCTCGAGTTTTAGCGAGACTGACGAACAGCAATTGATTTTTTTATATATATACTAGCTGACCCAGCGAACTTCGTACCGCCATAAAAAAAAAAAATTAATAAAACATTGTCCAGCGGACAAAATTGTGAATCTAAACCATTCTCAGATCCCCTTGAACACTCACAAAAAATTTCATCAAAATCGGTCCAGTCGTTTAAGAGAAGTTCAGTGGCATACACACTCACAGAAGAATTATATATATAAAGATATATACTAGCTGACCCAGCGAACTTCGTGCCGCCCTAAAAAAATAGGGGTTGTCCAGCGGACAAAATTGTGAATCTAAACCATTCTCAGATCCCTTTGAACACACACAAAAAATTTCATCAAAATCGGTCCAGTCGTTTAAGAGAAGTTCAGTGACATACACACTCACAGAAGAATTATATATATAAAGATTCCGTCTAATTTTTTTAAGGGAAGTAAATATAACACTTTTGATTAATTAAATAAGGTACACGTTTAGACGTTAGCTCTAGGTAAGTATTGTAATTGTAACCTGAGTCGTAGCTACTTTAGTTATTAATTTGATTTAAATCCGTTTCCGCGTAACTGCATACACATATATTTTAATACCAGGGGTATGTTACGAATGTCATATATGACTTGCGAATGCGCATGTTTGATGTGCGAATGTAAATGTTAAAAACCAAATAAAATTTGTTAAAATCGACATGTTCATTATTAATTTTAGTAGTGTTATCTTAAATGAGCCGAATTGTATTTGATGTGGAGCAACTTAGATGCCTTTTCGCTCATGAGGCTATTCCGATGTTGTTCATATATAAGGCCAGCTACGTTGACTAAAATTGTGGAGCGCTGAGATACTTGCGAGCATGACCTGACAATAATTATGTCATATGTTTTTAGTTTTTCACTGATTCATAGGGTTTCCTTCGATGGAGATTCCTTTTTTATTTTGAGGTGAGGGAGGGCCTTGAGGTAGGACTGGTATTTTTTTCAAGATCCTTCCATGAGGTGAAACGCCTAATAATAATATAATAAATAGGTGCTTGGTTTTCGTTGACAACCGTAAAAATTTACATAACTCACTTTTCTTGCCCAGGGTGGCATTTTAAAATCCGTCGTAACAACCCAAAAACAATAGGGTATTTGACAAGATTCAGAAAACGAACTCACGTTCAGTCCATATAAAGTGGATATTTTTAATTTTGTTGTGTAATTCAGTAAAGAAAACTTAATTCAATTTTCAAGTTGCCGCGAAAACGTTTCGACATTGTGGCGTCTCACTCTCTGAATAAGTATCATATGGAAATGACACAAGCATGTTCGCACGCGTGTTTACCTATATAAACAAATTGGGGAGCAAACATGGCGGACGTAGGATGTCTTTAGTCGATACTTTTTATCGATGTTATGTTTTATTTGTTGTGGTCAAAGCATATAGGGTCAAACAAATATAAAGGAGAAAAAGGGTTGAAGAGAGTGAAGAATCTATTTGAACTTCGTAAACAATCGGAGATAATTTTATTCAATGTAAGTTAAATTGTACCACTGTTATTAATTACAAGGACAGCAATAAGAAATCGCTTAGTTTTCACAAACCTTTTCTACTTAATTATATTCACTTATTAAATTAAACAAGTTTTGAACGAGTATAAATGCGTTTTTAATACTTTTTTACTGTAGTTTTGACGTTTCGCATCCTTTTTAGGATGCTTGTAATATATAGCAAGGTATTTCGGGTGCAGTCTCAGTCCGCTAAAGAGCTGCGGTATCACAGCTTACAATTTTTGAAACCCATTTATTCTATTTTATTTTGGTTTTTGCATGTGTATATTTCATAATATTGTAAAAACTATAAAATATAAAAACTATACCTGGTGAATAAGCGGTTTTTTGAAACTCAGTAGTCTATACTATAGTACCTTCACTAGATGCTAAGTTTTATATTTTATAGTTCTTACAAAATTATTAAATATACATTACTTAATTTGGCTAAAGTGGACTGAAAGGAAAAATGAAAAAAATCAGATAAGCAAGTTTTTACCATAATTTTCATTCGGAATATCTAAGAATAACACATTTCTAATCGCTTTTCTATAAGATTTTTTTAGTTAAGGAAAGTTAGCTTGCCTCTGAAAATATGCGACACTGCGACATCTTTTAACCTTAATATGTTAAGAGTTTAATTAAAACAACTCTCCTGAAAGTGTATGAGCATACAAAAATATTCTTGGTGCCTAGCGAATATTCTACTGCCCAAAATTGGTTGAAAGGCAACAGGCTTTGGTTCCTGTAGCCTTTGGTTTCCTAAGCTGTATTTTTAATATAATTACATGATCAACTTCTTGTTAAAATAGCAATTTCTAGTTAAATTGGTTACTTACCAGTAAAAACTTAGGTTAGGTCTATATTTGGTTTAACGCAGGCCACAATCAATTACAGAACACTTCATATTTATGTTTAAATCCTAAAGGAGATTGCTCATCTTTCATACATGTTTGGCCTAAAGACCAATAATCATGAAAAATTCTTTCCTAGATTCGAAATTATACATAAATTACTGTAGAAACGAATATTATTGACGAACACCCCTGGGAACTTCTATAAACCATATACACTGAATGATTTTGAAGTTATGTTTGCTTAGTAATAATTTAATTTTTGGTTTTAAAATTGGTTTACAATGGTAAAAGGTAATTTTAATGTAATAACATATGCATGATAGTTCTGATCAATGTGAAATATATTCGTGATATAGGTAATTTAAATATTCTGATAATGTAGATTAATGAAATGAAACCATTTAAGTACACACCTTTTTATGTTGAGTTGAATATTACATATCATCACGATATTTTACATTTTTAGTGTATCACACCTTATAATGTGTTTATGGAGGTGTTTGGCGAAAAATGTATGGCAATAGACTTTATGATGTCGCCTACCATCTATAAATAATAATTGTCTTAGCACATTTGGATGTAGTGAAAATGATAATATAGTTGTGGATATTAATACCACAGTGTAATAATAAAAAAAATATTTTATCTATCTTTACAAAATAGATTTGTTTTGATGTTATTTAAACAATTTTGATCAGTCTTTGGCTGAATGCTACTTCACCCATAGCTATTAAAAATTATTCATTTGTTTTCCAAACCGGTAAAATTAAAAGTCCTTTTTAAAATGAATATTTTATACAAAGGTGTCCGTTAAAATCTAATGACCAAAAAATAAAGTAAAAATTACGCCAAGAATTACCATACATGTCAATATTTTTTTTACATTTGGGCCAATTTGAGCAATCTCCTTTAATTATTTCACGGTTTTAAATTCCTCCAATAAGAATCACGGCCACAACTTTGAGTTTATTTGTAAACAAACAAGAGAACCACAGACTACTTATGGGGAACTAAGATGGCGTCATGAGCAAAATTGTATGATAGATATAGATTATCACTACTGTAGCGGATATTGCCTAATAGAATGCTGGTGTCTTTTTTATATGCATTAATAGGAATGTAAAAAGGAGACAACACTATACTTGTAATTACTATACCAAATTACAATGTAGCTACGTATGTATTGTGTATGTTTTCGTGTCATTTCCATATGATACTTGTTCAGAGGTCTCACTAGTGTTTGACGTCACACGACTGTTATTAAAACGTCGAACGATACAATGTAATGTCACTCTGGCCGGAAGTTTACTAGTGTGTGACGTCATTTTTGTCTTGGCTAATCCCAGGCGTTTTCGTTCATGTGACCATGAAGCAAAATAAAATCATTTCAATCTAGTGATTTTATAGAAAAAATATTATTTGTTTTTTCAGAAAAGTAAATTTCATATTATGTATAGGTGCTCAACAGTTGGTACTTTATTTTTCATACTGTCAAATAGCCTATCAGAGACTTGTTAACTCTGTAATTTACTGACATAATAAATATACACAACTGATGTAAATAATGTTAGTGAAGTCAATCCGATCAAGTGGCAAGCGTATGAAAAACGGCTCCTATTGTTTAAACGCATTACGCCCGAAACTCCACACTCTAAAGGCGCTCCAGACTCTAGTGAGAAACGCGTACCTCCCACGAAATATAAGTGTGGATCCGATTCTCTCCATGCGGGGAGGTCTTCGCGAAGAAATCGCGCATGAGTATTCACGCGCGAATCACGATGAGAAATCGCGGCGCGGATCACTGTACGAATCATGGCAAAACTGCCACAGTTCCATATTCGCAGAGGTTCACGCCAGGTTCACGAACGAGGTTGCTGCTAATGCTACTTTGCACATTAGCGATTTATAATTACGCTTATATCAAACAAGAAAGTCAATAAAAAGTAGAAGGGAAAACGAAACTATTTTAGTGGATGGTAGCCATCCACAGAAATCGAACAAGATTGAATTGTTTTTTAAATGTGTAACTTCTCTTCTTGAGACTAGAAACAAATATTTTAGCTAGAGCTTTAACTTATGTTTTTAT